CTGCAAGAAGGGACAGCCTGATCTGGCCCCTCTGCTTCACTTGTTCGAGAACCGTTGCTCAGCTCCCCTATGGAGGGCAAGCGGAGAGACACCGGTGCCACAGCTTCGTCTGCACTTTGCTCTTCAGAAGCCGTGTCGCCAGAGGTCGTGGGCGACGGCGACGACGGCGGCGACGGCGACGGCTGAGGCGAGGAGCGCTTGGGCAAAGGTAGGCGAAATCGGCCTAGGCCCAGGCGCCGAGATGGCCGAGCCTTCGGTTTCCAAGGCTTCCCTGGCTCGGCTGGGCCGTGATGCTCGGAGTCTGCACTCAAAGCCGCAAGACTGGATCTTCTTCCCGTCACCTGGCCCACACCCTCACCAGGCTCTGGGCTCAGGGAGGGAGCTGAAACCGCAGCTTCCTGATCTTGCTGTTCAGATCTGTTGTCGTTGTCAGGCCCATGCACTGCAGACACCTGTGGAATCGGTTGTGAACCGAAAAAGATCCAAGCAACGCAAGAACACGAAAAGGATCTGAACGGTCCGAGCTGCGAGTGACACAGAGCTCGTTCTTCTTGACTCGTCGTGGAGGCTGTGCGGATCTTGTATCTGGTGGCCCTCGGAGTCCCCTCTTTCACTGTTCACGGCAGTGCCAGTGGCCGAGCTTCGGCGGCTTAAGCTCTGGATGCTGGCTCCTTCATCTGTTGTCGACTGATCTGCCAGCTCTGCGAGCTCTGATCTGCAAGCTTCCGCGGGAATGCCGCTTGAGTCAGTCGACAGCCTGCAACCAGAAGTCTCCCAAACCTCCCCGTCTGTAGCTGGTCGGGTTCGTTTTGGCCTTCGACCAGAATCGGTTGGAAAGATGCTCTGAGGGCTATCTAATGACGAAGCTTTTTGCTGAAGTCCTCTCACCCCCATCTTGGCAATCACAGAGAGACTTCGCAAAGTGATGGATCGAAGCCTGGACTCCGTCGGAGCCACGGATTTGCGATCATCGCGCTCCCGCTTCATGTCCTGCTTCACCCTGGAAGTTTCCTGCATTCGATCCTCCACGAGCTTCTCAAAGCGCTCACGTTCCTTCGGATAGGCCAGCAGTAGCCGCTGGAAGCTGTGCTGATTCACACTACGGCAGTCGCACGTGTCAAGCGCTCGGACTGTACAGCTGCGCTTTCCGTTTCCGAACAAGGCCATCTCACCAAAAACCTGGCCGCTCTCCAAGACGCCAACCACTTTCTCGCCAAGGATGACTTCCACCGAACCCCAGTTTAGAAAATACATCCTGTCCCCGTCGTCGCCTGCTTTGATAATTTCCTGCTCTGGAAGGAACAAGTCGACCTCAAGCAGTGTCGACAGCTCCTGCAAAAACTTCTCCGAGCTCTTGCTGAAAAACTCAGACCTTGCAAGCATGCATTGGTTCTTGATCACTGACTTCGACTTCTTGAAATCAATGGAAGTCTTGCGATGCCTGAGCGACGGCATGAGGAGGTCCCTGTGCTACCGTCTACAGATGTCTACAGTCGACATGCTGCCGGCCTGATCATGTTCGTCAGCGCTTGAGCCAGCAAAGGATGACCGCATTACGTGCCCTCAGTCGCTCCATAGGTGGGCTAGCTGACGCAGCGCTGTGCCGAGTCGGAGTCGTGCTGAGTTGAGAGGGCAAGCGCAGCACTTGCTTTTTGTGACCAGTCACGGCCCGTCGCCTGTTGCTAATTGCTTGTGGCGGCACCTGCCATGGGAGGTCGCTGCGGACATGTGCAACATGCAATGTGTGCAGATGACAGCACGTTTCGGGCGATCCATGCTCCAGGCCCTGCAACTCCTGCTATGACGGGTTGCAAATCTCGCCAAACTATCGCGTGCATTTCAATACTTGTTCACTGCTTGGGCTCCAAAACCGCTCCAAGGCGGTTTCGGCAAGTTGGTTTTGGGATTGTCAGTTGGCCCTGTCGCAGTCACACCTTTCCGCCTCCAGAAGTTGCGCGCCCGGTACCTTCATGCCAATTGTCTCTTCGCAAATCATGCGCCTGCCGCGGTGCCGTGCGCGGTGTTTGGAGCGCACGTCGAGGTACCGCCACAGTACTGCGCCGCTCACCCGTTGAATTTTCAAATCGCTGAATGTCATTGGGTCTGATTTCCAAATCGTCCTGCAACGGCGGTCTGAGGACTGTGAGGGGTTCTCAGGGTTCTCCTACTTAGAATTTTAAATGGCTTTGGGTATATTGGACTTGGACTACCATGTATTTTATCTGGAGGCATATTTCATTGGATGCGGACAGCAAAACAGCTGGGGCAATGGCATCCGTTGGTTCTTGCGTTCAAAAATGTCAGCGGCACCTAAGCGAGCAGTTGAATGCAATCCAATTTACACTACTCCGCGTGGCGCATCTTTCACAGCCAATTCTAGCGTCTTCAAAGTGCCGTGTTGGGCCCGTCTCTTCTCAAACTGCTTCTTCAGTTTTTTGCGTTGCCATGCATAGCTGCACTCGGCCAGAAAGTTAAGGCCGCTGCGACCTCATCGGAAGCCCACTGCTGCCTGGCTGCAAACGCAAGACGCAAGGTTCTCGGAATGACTGTGACTCTGACTGCAATCAAGTTTAAAGTTCTAGGTCTGCGAAGAAGAGCACAGACTAACAGACGGGCCTGCCAAAGGAAGGCAAGGAGAAAGAAGAAGACCCTTAATTGGGCGGAAGTTGTCATGCAGTTCCTGTCATGGCCACGGCGCTCCAACCCTAAACCCTAAACCCCTAAACTGACGCGCCATCTCTGGGGGCCGTTGCGGCAGGATGGGCAGCACGTCCACGATGGGAGCGAAGATCACGAACTCTTCCGGCAGCCGCGCGTGTGCTGCCTGGCATTAGTACCATTAGCTTGTCAAGCTTCTGGAGTCGCTGCAGCCCGTACATACATACATACATACATACATACATACATGTATATCTATACATACATATACGTATACCTATACCTATACATATACATATACATATACATAGACATAGAGATAGACACCTTACAGTCGGGGGTCCTACTATTTAAGGTACTATATTAGGGTCCCCTAACTTTCGGAAACTCCCATATACGCATACATACCTACCTTAACCTACCAAAACCTACAAAAAAGTAGGGTCCCTATAAATTCCATATTGGGGTTTGTAATAGGAACCTACAAAAAAGTCAGTTATGGTAGCTTAACGTAGGCTTCAAGAGAGGTCAACTTCGCGCCTCGGGGATCGAGGCCACACCCGCTGCAACCAGGGCAGCATCGGTGCCACGGAGCGCAGTCTCCTGGAATGCGGGTTTCGGGTCTAGGATTTAAATCCTAAACCCGAAGCCCTAAACCCTAAATTAAGATTAAGTTTTCCGGTGCGTGCTTATTCCTATTGTCACTGTTACTTGCCCTTGACTATTGCCATTATTATTCGCCTCGGCCCCGGCCGAGGCCGGCCCCCCTCGAGACCCCGCGCCGGCCCCCCGTCCGCCCCTTCCACCCCCCCCGTTCCTCCAACAATGTGAACTTTTCGGTTGGTGAACCTGCTCCTCTCGCACTGCTTGCTGACCCTCCCATGCCATGGCATGCGAGCTTCATGCTTGCATCAGGGGCTGCGCCTTCTCCCTATACGCTGCGGGTTTAGGGTTTCACGTTGAAGGTTTTAGGTTTGGGTTTAGAGTTTCGGGTTTCAGGCCTATGGGACTTGGTAGGCTTTCGGGTTGCTGCTTTCCGAAACAATCCACCACAGCCGGGCCGAGGCGGACGGCAACGGAGCGTTTAAAATTACTATTGCTATTGCTATTGCAGTTGCACTTGCTTACCATTACTAAAACTTACTTTTAATGATACCATTTATTAGTACCAACACCATACTACGATCATCACTAGTGCTATTACTATTCATTCTAGTGCTGTTACTAGTAATATTGTTGTTACTGTTGTTACTGCTGTTCTTCTTATAAGTATTTGTAATACTCTGATTATAACTATGCTTATTCTGAGTATGTCTTGGTCAATCTTTTGCATTCTTTGGTATGATGCTTATGATTACTAAAAGAATGCTATCTGTAGGGTTTAGGGATGCGTAGAGGCTAGAACCGACGGGCCTTTGGGGCGGCGGGTGTCACGAAGGTTGTGGAGAGCAGGAAAGCGCTGCCAAGGAAGGCCTTGCGGTGCGAAACCAACGTCCAAAGTGCAACAAGCGAGGCCTGTTTGAGCTCCACACGGCCACCACCAGGAGAGAGCTCGACCTAGCCACATCTGCCACCCACAGCATCCACAATGACAGTGCGCTTTGCGAACCTTCGAACTGCCATGGCTTTGAGGTCGGATACTTCGACGCCTGCTTCTGCTTTGCTTTGAGCCGGCAGTTGCTGAAGCGACGCAGATTGCACGTTTCAGTGACGGTTTACGGCAAGGAGGCTCGGAGAGCTGGGACCTCAAACACAGTTTTCTGAGAGCAGCATTCAACGCGAGGGTGGAATGCACATGTCTCAGACGAACATCATGGACCCGCGCCCCAACTCGCAGGATCCAGACGGCCCCAAGCTTTCCGAAATGTGCCAAGGCACTCACTCAGTGTCACTCAGAGTCCATACACCATCCTCACGATTGAATCGCTTGCAAGGGATGCTATGACAAGTCACCTAGTCTTGCAGCTCTAATGGGCAGGCACCATCCACTGGCACTTGCTGACATGACATGCGGTTTGAGATCTCACTTCATCGATTGCAAGGAGAAAGGGCTCTTTGCAAAGCATCCAGATCCTGAACACATGATCTTTATCATGCCAAGTCATGCCAAGTCTCCCGTCACAGATCATGACCTTGTTCAAGCAGTCGAGGCTCGCCAAGCTCTCTTCGATGTCTATCACGTCAATCTGAAGGCTTTTTGCCAGGTCTTGAAGCAGATCAGCCTTTCGCATTTGTAGCCCGTGACGTGTCAGGTGCTTGCTCACCGCCGCCTGCAGCTCTCGAGAGTCGGCTCGGGAGCTGTGAAACCTCTTCTCTTTCGGAGGCGTTGAGAGGGACAGGGCGCTCCCCGGCCCCCCGCGGATCCCGCGCTCGGCTGCGAGGCGGCCCCTTTTCTTGACCTCCTTCGGCGGTGTTGACGGCGCTGCTACGAGGCAGGTTTCTGCAAAGGCGCCGGGCCTCCTCCTTGGTGGAGTCTGGTCCCCGGCGACAGGCACCGCTTGCCGTTCTTCCCGCAGCGAGCGGGGCTTGGGCGGCTCGGAGGCCCAGCGGCGCAGCTTGCTGCGCAAGGCGGCCATCGCGCCCTCCGCGCCGCGCAAGGCCTCTTGGAGCTGTCGAGCTGACGAAGACGACTCCCCGCCGCTGGTCGCTTGGGCGACACAGCGGAGCAAGGCTTCCTGTGCTCCAGCAATGGCCGGATCCCGGGCCGAGCAGGAAGGAAGGGCTCTCAGTCGTTGCAGAAAGGCATCGCGAAGTTTTTCCGCAGCCTCGCCGCTCCAAGGCTTCAGGGCCGAGGAGGGTAGCCCCGGAATGCGCTTGAAGGGCTCTGAAGGCTCATCCAAGCACAGGGCGATGACCTCCCAGCCGTCGGAAATCTCCGAAAGACTGCGGAAGCAGAATGCAGGACAATGCAGGATGCAGATCCTACATAAGTCAAGCAAGGAGCCGTCACGCCAGCGTCATTGATGGCAGAGATCAGAGCCGGAACTGCTTTGCAGTGCTGGATATCCACCTTGACCTCACGTGACTCAGCCCCGAAAGCCTAAGGAGCTCGGAGCCCCTTTGCTGACGGAAAGTGTGCCCCCAGCCCTGCAGTCCAGGACACCCAGCTTCCAACTTCTCCCGCGCCGGCATCGACCGCCATGCGCAGAATCCGGCACTCTTGCAGCTTACGAGCACTGCTTCTCAAGTCTCGATTGCACCTGAACTTTATCGAGCTCGCCTGGGGATGCCCGTGTCGGGCCCCGCACCTTTGCGCTTCGATCGTTCCCGTCGGATCAGCTTAACTCAGCTAGACACGCTACCTCCAGATCTTGATAGCAAATAAGGCAAACCCACGCGGCTTGGATGGCTCAACCCAACACAAGGATGCACGCTGTTATGTACCAATTTAGCTCTTTATCTCTCGCATTCCATAGGCTCTGCCGCATCTGCAGCCAGGCAAACACACAAGCTTTTTGCACACACATGCGAATCACGGGTTCCGTGACCCAGCCTTCTGTCGTTCGCGCAGCCTCGCCAGAGCTCGCTATGCGTCACGGCAGTAAGGTCGCGAGGATCTTGGAATCTCGCCAGTCGGCTTCGACTTAAGATCCCAGATCCCAGAAGTTCTGCTTCGACAAAGGGTGCAGATCTGCGAAGTCGTCGGGAATAGCGCAGGTGCGCGATCAGAGCCCAATGCAGCTCAGTCGTCCAGGATCTCCACCTCTCCATCTGCAACCACGACGGGAACCTGGGTTTCCGGCACCCTTCTTTACGACTTCATGGCTCAAAAGCGGACCTCGGGGACAAGTGATTTCAGCCAGGTCACTGGCGAGCGCGAGCGATCTCGCTTCTCCTTTGCAACAGGTCGAAGTGGGCCATCCTGCAACAAGGGCCGAGAACCTCCGAAACCAGAGGTCAAGCGAAAGCTGCGGTCTTGCAGGCCCTACGACAGCCCATGGACCCCATGCCATTCTGTGCCCTTTGCCCAACCCCGACCATCAATCGCCCGACTTGATATCGCTCCCAGAGCTGCACCTCCGAAACCCTCCCCCCCCTAGAGGCCTTGCGGAACCGGCCGTGATGCAGATACATGCATCATAGCTTCAACTGCTCATCTTCAACATCACATATTCAACACCACTTAACATCTAGCAGCACCAACCTTGGCCAGCACCTGCGCGTGGGAAAGGCCCTTCCTCAACAGCGCCAAGTCTGGGCCAAGTGAGTTTAACTTTGTAAACAAAACTCAGATACCAGGCCCCCGACCAAGTCTTTCCGTCCGTGAAGAGAATCTTCACCTTTGTGGCCAAGTTTTCATGCGCAGAAGTCATGGGCCAGCACTCCAGGACTCCCGGGCCTTGTCGGGGGTAACTTGCTTCACCATCACCTGAACGTGAAAGAGAAGGAATCGACATTGCGCAAGCATCCGATAAGAACGCTGCCTTCATCTCTCTGCCTTGGGTAGACCGCACACTCATCGAACCAGGCTCTCTAGTGTCAGCTGCCCTGCACTTGGAGACTTTCTGCCAAGATTCCGGAGGATGATCGATACAGCACCACTGCATCGTCCTTGATCCATACCTAGCCGTTACAAGTGTCTGCACGAAGCCGCTTCTGCTTGAAACTCTCCTGACTTGCTCCCTTCCCTGGAGACTTAACCCGTGCAAGGTGCCGGCAAGCCGTACTTGCCTTTCGCCGCTGGCTTCGAGGAAGCTGGCGCGGGGGCTTTGGCAGCCTGCGCTGGCCCAAAACACACGAAGATCAAGCCCTAACATGGTCCCAAAACTTCAACCCCCCCGATCTTCACGCCTAAGTCCTAAACCCTGAAACCCTGAACCCTCAAGCCCCTCAAGCCCCTCAAGCCCCTCAAGCCCAAGCCCAAAACCCCAGCCTCGATCCCCAAACCTGCCTCGACACACCCCCTCAACACCCCTAAAGAATCCCCCCCCCTAAACACTCCTAAAGACCCTGCCTAAACACACCCCCTAAACCCGAAACCCTAAACACCCCTATAGTTGCCCTAAAACACAAGGGCACCTCCTTTGCCGCCGACGCCGCCGAGGCCGCGGCCGCTGAGAGTGCCGAGATGCCACCGCCTCCTTGGGTTGTTTAGGGGGAGTTTAGGGAGGGTTTAGGGGGTTCAGGGTTTTTAGGGTGTAGGGTTTAGGGATGTTTAGGGTTTAGGGGTTTAGGGTTTAGGGTGTAGGGTTTTTCGTTGTCTTTTAAGGCGCTCTTTTCCAACTGCAGAACAGCTAGAAGTCCTTACCAGGATGAGCCTTTGGTTGAGGGTACAGGGTCTTATGGTGTCTTCATAGCATATTTATAGCATGTTTGTAGAATCGTCATGGAATATGAGTATGCATATGCTTTGGTATGTTTGTTCGGATAGTTATGGCATATTCTTGTATACCATCTATCGATCTACCTATCTATCTACCGTGGATAGACGAAATCTTGCAAAACCTGCACATGCAACTTCAGGCGATTGAGGCTTCAAGCCCCGCACCGCCCGATTTAAGGTAGGACTACTCGAGCGGTGCACGCCATCTGTAGTTTTTCACAGCCCAAGTTAAAAAGGTGGCGTGGGGAATCACTAACACGGGTTTATGGAAAGTGGTGCAAGATATTGTAGATCCACAGTGACTTTCTGTCTATCTATCTGCCTACCTACTTATCTATCTATGTATTTATCTATCTATCTGATTCCACTCTCACGACTCTCACCAAAGGGTTTAGGGCTTTGGAATTCGGGACTTGGGCTTAAGGCTTTGGGATGAGGCCTGAAATCTCAAAAATCCAAGAGAGTGAGAGATTCAATCGAACGGAAACGCCGAGGCACTTGGTTTCACCGCAGGGGCGAAGGCTTTGGCACCCTGGCCTGCGTCAACGTGCTGCCGCATGGACTGGCACTAGTCATCACTTATTGATCTTAGCATATCACACCCACTCCACACCCCACCTGCAACTGGCTCTGATGGATTGTTTTTCTCTCCTCGCGCAGGAACAAGCTACTTGAACAACGCATCTCTCCGCAGCCTGTCGGCAGCAGCTGAGCCTGCGACCGTTTGTTCGTCCCAGATGCAATCGGTTCAGGACATCCCCGTCACCGGAACTGGGCTTGCGAGACGAGGCCTCGCAAGCCGGCAGTGTGAACTCTTCATCTGCTTTGCGGCTATGCACATGTATACACTGTACTATGCCATGGCTGCCATGGGATCTATCAGACACTTTCCAGCCGTGCTACAGCGAAGGACAAACCCAGCGCGCCTGTATGTTCAGCCATGCCATGCCATGTGCGGTACACAGCGCAAGCGGCCACGTGTGAACAGGCGTGGAATGGTCGTAGGAGAGCTTTCTTGTTGAGATGCAACAACCACAACTTGAAACTACCTACCTTTGGGAAGAAACGGACATGTGCGTGTGAAGACAACAGCTGGCTCAAGTAGCCGACCACTCGTGGATTCAGAAGGCCCAGTACCATCTCATGAACAATTGCAGTGCCTCTGAAGCCGAACGCTCGACAAATTAAGATTGCGAATGAAGAAAGTGCGCGCCATCCACCTGTCGAGCCCATCATATGCCTCCCTCAAACCTGTTGGAGATATATTTATGTGTGTGTGTATACATATACTACAAAAATGTACGCGCACACACACACACCAAATATAAAGTGTAATGATACATAAATATGCATATGCACACCATACATACATATATATATATATATATACAAATGTATAGATACATATCAATGTGTAAAAGAGACTAGTGCAAGATTGTTCGACACTTCGCCGGTCCTCCTACTCGCATCACAAGGGCTTCCCCGCTGGGTCCAGGTTCCATAAGATTTCAAGCAGGCGGCTGCATCCCTTCTCGGACGTAGGTTCATAGCATTTTGTATATGTATGTATATATATATATATACCTGTATTACCAAAAACTACACGTAGCACATTATGTGTATGACATGGACTATGCTGTCACTGCAGCTCATATCGGATGGGAAATCAAGTCTGCGATCCCCAGCGCGGTGCTATCCGGCCAGGTAAAGCCCTGCAGAACTCAAGCCAGGCGAGGCCAACGAAACCCACCATGAAGCTGCCCATTTGCACGGGCATAAAATCAAACTAGCAAGATGCGATTGCACTATACTATACTCTATTGTAGATGACGTTATGCTCATCTTATTATAGTCCAGAATACTGCAGTTCCAAGTCCAGGCACCCTCCGTCTTCCTATGCGCCCTGTGTTGTTTCCTGCAGAAACGGGGGAGTTCGTTAACTCGTTGGCACACGTCTCCGTTTGGAGCCGGCCTGCTGATAACTGCTTAAGTACTGCAAAAAACTGCTACATGTATATTATATATAGGAGTTTCCGAAAATAGGGGACCCCAATATAGTACCCATCATAGTAGGATCCTTATTATAAGGCAAAAACAAGGTACCATTTAATTTTCGGAAACTCCCATACAAATGCCGAGAATCTTCACAGAGAAGCTACGCCAGGAGCCTCCGGCCCTCCATAGCTCTCGAATGTAAGCTGGGAGCAGATGCAGATGTCAAGTTCTTTGGGAGAATAAGTGGCAACAGAACATCAGGCGGCCGAGATGGGCTGATGCTAGCAGCAGGCGCAGTCTGGAAGCTTGACGCAGCCTTTGCCTTCTTCCTTCGCTTCGGGCCTCCGCCCGGCGAGATCAGAGAATATCCCACCGGACCTTCCGACAGCAACTGCTGCAATATCACCAGAGGGCTCCTTTCTACCACGCTGAGCACCGATGCTTCGCAGGGTTCGGGGGCACTCTCCAAAAGACGTCGGCGTTCCTCCAGACTTCTTTTTCTCAGCTCTTCCAGGCGCTCTATGCGCTTGAATGCATCTTGGTAGAGAATTTCGAAACGCGAGGGGCATGCCAAAAGACGCTCCAAGCCAACGTTGTTGGCAATCTTGCTGACCTCTTCGCCGATGCCTCGTTGAGAGCAGTTGCCCATCAAATGACGAAGCTTTGCCTGAAGCTCCTGCATGTTACAGGGGCCTTCATGGTTCGAACAGGTTTAAGAGGTATATTCTGAAATGACTATACTTAGGAACCCCAAAGAAAAACACAACTAGCTATTCTGACCAAAAAACCATGCTTGGTGGGCCACAAAAAGCCTTTCAACTCCCACAGACCATAGTTTTGAGGGCGGCTACCCTTGAGACAAGCACAGCACCTTTTTGAGAGCATCGTGGCATATCATCTTATCTTATTGTACTATACTACATTACACAATAGATGTATTCCATTATATTACACTGTATTACAATTATATTACATTATATAACATCATAGTAAAGTACATTACATTACAGTATATTACACCTTGTTACACTATATAGCATTATACTGCATTATACCATATTACCCTCAACCCTGATCTCCTCAAGGCAAACCTTCAGCCGCTTGTTCTCTGCATCCAAGAGCTCCAGTTTTTTCCGGGTTTTGGTGAGCTCTGCCGAGTCCTGCCCGGCCGGCAGCGCAGATGCAGATGCCTTGGGAGAAAAACTCTTTGAAATCACGGAGGCTCCTGATTCGGAATTGGGCGACTCAGGTGATCTTTCCAATGGCTTTGGTCGAATATCCCGCCCCAAGCTCTTGGGTGAAGCAGCTGTCGGCGTGGGTGCCTCTACCATCTCCAGCTTGGCACTCCCAGTAGGTGACGTCAGTGGCTTTGGGTGCTTCGATTCGGCCACGCCCCGGCTTGGGGGGGAGCCCGAAGTGTCCGCAGGCGGAGACATCGACGCGGTGACTACGGACTTCTTGCCGCTGGCGGAGACCAGCACCGAATCTTGCAATGCCACCACTGCTTTCTCCGCATCTGCATGCCTCTCGTAAGTACACAGAATACTCGGTTGTCGCCTACCTTCGCTAGGACTCGAAGAACCCTCCTCGATCTGCACGGCCACAAGCGAATCTGCTTCAAGGCCAGATTCGCTATGCCATTTCAGAATACAGTCAGAGGTACAATCGTCCGGAACTCCATCATAGCGCACTTCGAAACCCTGGCAGCCCGAGGCTCCGCTGACTTCACGTTCCAACCCCAACTCGGACAACACGAAGTTCGCTTCCTCCGGCTCCAGGCCCAAGTCCTTCAGCTTATCCATGCCGGCCTAGGTAGGGGACCGTCAGACATCGTCGGACAAGGGTTTAGAGCCGCTCTAGTCTTGCCCTAAACCCTAAACCCTGAACCCTGTACCCGAAACCCTATACCCTATAAACCCTAAACCCTATAAACCCTATAAACCTTATAAACAGTATAAACCCTATAAACCCTATAAACCCTAAACCCTAAACCCAAAACCCTGTAAACCCTATAAACCCTATAAACCCTTTAAACCCTATAAACCCTAAACCCTAAACCCTATAAACCCTATAAACCCTAAACCCTATAAACCCTATAAACCCTATAAAACCTATAAACCCTATAAACCCTATACCCTGGCTTGCTCCCTTCAGGGGCCCCTCGGGCCTCGAGGTGCTCGAGCTGCTTTTGACGCTCCGCCAGCTGCCCTTTGAGGCTAAAGACCTCCCTCCGGCACCTGGGGTTTAGGCTTTAGGGGTTTCGGGTTGAGGGTTTAGGGTATAGGGTTCAGGGTTTAAGGGTTTCGGGTTTAGGGTTTAGGGTATAGGGTTTAGGGTTTAGGGTTTAGGGTTTGGGGTTCTTAATCCAAGGGTACAAGGAGGGACCCTCAATAAGGACCCCTAGGTATATATCCTGAAAAAAGAGCTATTATTTATACATATATACCCATTATGTAGCCCACCCTCCTGCACCTGGGTTCTTGTTACCCAGAATCCCGGAAGTATCTAGAAAGTAGATCTCCTAATTTGGGGCCCTATACTACTAAGGATACTTTATCGGAACCCCCATTAAGGGATCTACTTTTTGGGTCCTGGTTCTTCTTAATCCAAGGGTATAAAGAAGGACCCTTAATAAGGACCCCTGGGTATATACCCTTAGTATACCTATTATATACCCGTTATATAGCCCACCCTCCTGCACCTGGGCTCTTGTTAAGGGATTTAATTCAAGTTACCATCATAGGGGGCCATAGTAAATCATAGGGTAGTAAATCATAGGGTCGCTTTATTCTTGCAATTTAGATTAAATCCCTTAACAAGAACCCAAGAAACCACATTATTTACTGTAGATCCCCACTATGGTAAGCACCCAGGTACCTGTCCAGCTCCTGCTGAAGGCTGCGGGCATGGTTCCGATCCTCCTCCGCCTGGCGAAGGGCCGCGCGTGCTTCTGCCTGCAGAGGGCCGCCCCAAAAATGATAGAAGTGAGGCCCTTACGAAAGAGTGGGTGTAGATCGTAATATAAGGGCCTTACGTGTATGAAGTTTGGGGGGTTCCTTATGTAACTATACGTAGTATAATAAACCCCAAACCCCTATTCTAATTCTCAAGGCCCCGTATTATTGATCAAGCATTTACACTACAGCACGACAAGGACCAAGCTGAACGGGGCGGCCTTGGAACGTCGCAGGGCCTCGTACAGGCAAAACACAGGCTGAAAGAGCATGAAAACAAAGAGACAAAGCACACGTCAGCCGTAAGACTCTGTGCCCGCCACCGTTTCGAGATCTACATCATCCTGGTCAACTCGGCTTTACATCTCATTAGCAATCATCGTCGTGGGCGCATGATGGAGGTCTTCAGGCTTTGTGACACCCCTTCCGTTGTGGAAACTTAGAGAGTGGTGACACTTTTCCGTCCTCGTCTTCATCGCTGGCCTTTGCGTGGTGCCAAATACTTCCGTGACACGAGAGCTGAGCCCTGTGCGAGTGCGCCGTGCCTTGGGAGACGCCTTGTCCATAAGCTTCGAGGGATCCTGGGCTAAGAAGGCCCACAAACATCTCCAAGGAAGCTTCTGTCTGGGACCACGGCCAGCCCCATCGACTGCTTCAGCTCTTCCACGAAGGATGTGGATGCTGAACCGTCGAGGATCTGAAGAAGCTTGTCCTCTTCAGTGCGACAGAAGATGAATACAAAAATCTCATCGCAGCCCTTACCGTAGTCACGAACTCCCTGCAGCAACCCTTACAGTTACAGCCATAGCCCTGAATTGCAGTAACCACTACAGCAACCCTTCCCTCTTTGAGCATGCCTTGACGATCATCAAAACCAGCAGCCTCTGGTCTTCGCTGAGGTGCCTCATAGGCTCCTGTCACAACAGAAAGATGCCAAAAAGCGCCCCAAAACAACCCAAAAAGATGGGGGACATCCCTCCGAAAGTGGGTCCCTCCTGCTACGTGCTTTCCACTCCCTCGGACTTTTCGGAAACTAGTTGGCCAAGAGTCGAAGAAGGTGACATGATCGTCTTGCAAAGGCGTTCCTGTGCCTCCCTTCACCTGCAAGACGAGTCTACCACAGCCAAGGAAGACACAGCGGCCACTTGTCAACCAAGTCGCCCGATCCAACTGCTTCATGGCCTAGGCAGGCGACCACAAGAAAGTCAGTTGAGACCTGTATAGCACATCATGTAAATATACGATGCAGAAGATGTAATACAGAAGACTATAACATTATATACATATTACATATATACATATATATATATATATATATATATATATTACATATTGAAGGTTAACAATATGAAATACGTAACATGAACGAAATCGCCAGGCACGTAGGGCCCGGGCGCCGAGATTACATCGGGCCAACTTCAGCTCAAAATCCTGACGCTTCACCGCGACGCTTCGCACACTTTTGCTGGCCTCATGAGTGCCACCTACATCCATCCATCCATCCGTCCATCCATCCATCCATCCATCCATGCATCCATCCATCCATGCATGCCTACGTATGTACACAGTCTTTCATTCATCCATCCCTGCGCTATTGATGATTGCAGCTAGCCACACCCATGTTTGCAGCGGGCATCCTGCCGCATCTCTGACAGAGCCTAAACTCCATCTGGTGAGCTACGGATGCAACGGCGCTCCACACGTCGGTCCTGTCGAGCAGCCTTCAGTTCGAGCTGAACCCGTCGCAAGCTGGCGGACAGCACATCTTGTCCTGCCGGCATCAGAGTGCAGAGAACCACATTGGAATACATCACTTGGGTAGTTGTCAAAATTATGGTCCCTTTTTGGATACCCTAAATATTAGGCGCCGCAGTATAATACGGACCCAAAAAGGGACCCTAATTTCACACTGTTCCGCATCATGCTCGGATGCCTCTGGACGTCAGTGTTGTCAAACAGAGCTGGCAGAACTGTCGCGTGAAGGTCTGCATGTCCTGGTGTACCCGTGACATCAGGGAAGTCTCTGTTTGGGCGGTCCGTTACAGCAAGAACCGTGGTATCCGCTCACAAGAATGGAGCGTTGCTCGATGTTGCTCGCAGATCGATGCTTAGGTTTACGTGCTCCTGCTCAGCGGAGCCTGCGGAGCTTGGATACACAAAATACATCGACAGTCTTGCTGTGCTGTAATTACGTACTAGAGTCACTAGAGGCTTCGTCTTCGGGGAGAATCGGTGGCAGCCACAGCGTCCAAAGACAGACCAAGCTACAGGACTCAACCCGACACGGCTGAAGTCTCTATTTGCCAACGAAACCCAAACGCCACTTCGCTCTGCGACAAGGCAAGGGCAGGACAACTTTGGTGTGCGACGACCCTGCCCGTGCCTGTGAAGGTATCTTGAACTTGCGTCGGTGATGCGCCAATAGTTGCACCACGTTCCAGTCCTCTTCCATTTTCTTCCTCAGCTTGGTGCACCTAAACCATACACTTCGCAGCAGTCTTGTACCAAGCGTCAGGCTATTGCTACATTGAGCCACGGAATCACAAGGGAAGGAAGCAGGGAAGACAAGGGAAGGAAGCAGAGGAGGCCAAAAGGGAGGGAGCGAGCTGAACAGCTGAAGTAAAGACACCACACCACGGGACAAAGCTCATGCAAGCCCATGCAGTCCCAGGCGAGAAGAGCTGACCAGCCAGAAATGACGAACTCAAGATGCGAGCCAAAGAGAAACAGCCTGTAAGATAGCTGCCAAGCCTCAAAATGTCATCCAAACAATGATCGACAGAGCGGGAGCTAGAAGAGATTGAGGCGCGCCGAGCTGACGGAGCCATTCCTTGGGAAGCTCCGCCAGAAGCTTGCGGCCCATGCCGCATGTCATCGGCCAGCCATTGAGCCTAAAGGCTCTTTGAAGCTGGAAGTCCCGGAATCTCAGCTGCTGGATTCTGCCAAGAAGGCACTCGAGCGACTCAGCCCTTTTCACACGCGCGCAGGTGAAATCGCGCTGGTCTTTGCTACACTTGGCGGAGTTCCGCCTCTTTAACTCCTAACTCCCTGCCTGAAACACCGAAAGCCTTCGCAGTGCTGTGCTGAAGTTTTCATTGCTGAGTGGATTTCAGGCTCTCTACTGTGTAAGTTTACACCTCAGGCGTCTCACGCCCCTTGTCCTGCAGGTTTCCAAGCAGAAGGATACATCTGCAACAGGTCTCATGGTCTTGAGATAGTACATGTTGTGGGCATGGGCCAGAGCAAACAAGCCATATGTCCTTCCGTAGTAGCTGCAGAAAAAATGCCTCGCGTTTTTCAGCACCACACCAAACACCGCGAATGACAGTGGAGAAACTGTGTGCAAGACCACTTCGTTCATCGGCCACTTGCCGCTGGTATTCTTAAATGAGACCTGCGAGGCGCATCAAGGCATCCTGATGAGCCCTTGACGCTTCTCATCCGACCGGTCCACCTTTCTGCGCACTTGCAATGATCTGGATGATGGCAGATCCAACCTTAGAAGCTTCTGACCTATCGACCTCTTTTGTCTCGGGCTCCATATCTCAGGCGCCAACGACGACAAACAGAAAGACTGCCAGCACAACTGGGCCGACAGTGAACGGGGACCTTAGCCACATTCCCCAGATCCCCTGGAGTTTCAATAATTCCCATTCCCGGCATCGCCCGTAGCTTCTGGCGATGCAGCGCTTGGGGCCGTGCTCTTCCTTTTTCTTGCCGGAGTTACCTGCAGATATTATACATTACATCATATATAGTACATGGTATAGAATAGATAGTTTGTAGTCTATAGAATCTACTGTGTATTTCTCACTGCCCAGGCCAGGGATGAGGCTCAGGTCTGTGTCAGGTTGCAGTCAAGACGCTGGGCCCTCCTTTTCCGATGTTCTTCTCGTACTGGGCCTCGTCCGATCCATGCCGACAGGGGCGCTTCGATCATGTGCTGAACAGAAGCCGAGGGACAGATTTCAGCGCAGTTTTTCGAGAAGTCGGCATGGCCTCAGCGGGAAGCGCGGCATTCAACAGCGGGTGGACGCAATGAAGGCATGCCTACTATATTATATATGTGTGTGTATATATATATATGTATATTATACAACAACTTATATCATGTGTGTATATATATAATATTACTTTATACATAAAATATTGATATACTCTATATATGTATATGATTGCATATATATATATATAACATACCGAATGGCCTCCGGTGCGGCAGCGGTAGGCACGAACGTCAACGTGGAACCCTTGAGCCAAACATGCATACAAACCTGGCTGGAAACCGAAGCCGAAGCGTTGAGCCCGGCTCTGCAAAGCCAGTCGCTGTCTCTATCTTTTTCGCTCGGGTGCCCGGTGGTGGGCGAAGTGCAACTCACGTGGCTCAAAGGCTTCCGTGTCCGAGACGGTTTGGCTTGAGCCACGCTTCTGTTGCACGAATCTGCAATGCAAATTACTTTGGGATAGTGAGCAGTTTCTGCCGAAAAATCCTCCAGATGAAACATATTCAACTATTGTCAACATCTACCAGAGCGCATCGAATCAAGCAAACGTCCTGGCTTACGTTACAGTAGACCCGTTGACCAGTCATCTGAGTTGAATCCGACAACTATCATCACATTGAAGCGCTTCAGAATGTGATGGAGAAACACGGTAGGCATGTGAGAGTGCGAGCACGCAACCGCCAGCGGCTTTAATCCGTGCTGTTGATGCTTCAAGCTAAACTTCAAATGGTCTTCCTAGCACAGCGACTACATCTTGGTGCAACTTGTTGACCATTTCACGACACCAGATTTGGCATTGGTGCTGGCAGGCCAAGTGAAATCACGACACTGTAGCAGTCATTTTCATACCGAGGATCTCGCCGATCTGCTGGAAAAGTCCCTCCAGTGACAGGTGCTGGGCGGGAAAAACAGGACTAAGCATCGCAACGCAGACTTGTGCCCCTAGGCGTCCCTCTTGTATTCATGCCTTGGTGGCAAAGAACTCCTGGAAGATCAACACGAAGAAGAAAATCATGGCGATCTTAGCCCGCGTACAATTGCCCCACAGCACTGCTCGGCCGTGCGATTTCCCGGGATGTGGACATGCCGTCAGCTCGATTATTGTTGTCAACATAGTCAGTGCGAGCTTTAGTTCATCATCTATTCGAGCATGATGCCATGACGGCTATCATTCTCAATGTTTTCCTCATCATTTATTGATTACTGCTCTTCCCCGAAGCTCTATGATCTTATATGGTGCTACTGCTACTAGCTACTAGTATTATCTCTTACGCGAGGCCCAGACTCGGCCATTCAGCTGCTCCGCGAAGGGAACGAAGCCGTACATGTAGGTGGCTCGTTCGGGCTCCTGAGGGCGCCCCCCCCAGGCGCCACGCCGCATCAAGGAGCCCTTACAGGAGCCCTTAAAGAGGAGCCCTTAAAGGAACCCTTAAAGAAGCTCTTTAAGGAACCCATAAAGGAGCCCTGAAAGGCACCTGAAGGAGCCCTTGAGGGTTCTAGAAGGCTTCTATAGGGTTTAGGGTTTGAGGGGTGTCCATGTACCCAAATCGCATATACTTCGGCCATTTGGGGAAGCAGAAGGCGGGCCAGGCTCAGGAGAACCCGTTTAAGTCAGCTTAGGGTTAGGGCCAGTTCAAGGATCAGGATTTAGGGTGAAAGCAGCCGTCAGCGAAAGGCGAAGGGACGGAAGTGAAGCTTACCCGAAACGTCCGCAACATGCAGATCTGGAACTGTCAGTCCTCATCAGGTTGGATCAAGTCCGACTCTTTCATAGGAACATCCAGCTGCACAGCTGCCTGTCGCATGAAGTTCAACAGAGCGACTCTCCAGCCGATATGGGAGTTTCCGAAAATGGGGGACCCTAATATGGTACCCGAAATAGTATAGGATCCCTATTATAAGGACCTCAGAATAAGCGACCATAAGCTACCCCTAAGTTTCGGAAACTGCCACATGCTCAAATGACACATCCTCAGCTGCGTACCCTGGACACTGCAGGCTCTGATCCTCGAATGCCTCGCACAGCGCAGCAGAGGTCCCGCGAAGGAAGTTGCGGAGGGTCACTCCGGGCCTCTGGAGTTTCCCGCGTGCGGGGCCACAAAGCATACAAACCTGCGCAGAAGGTCAGTCGGATGATATTGGAAGTGATTTTACACATGGCGCTTTTCCGGCGAAGCTCAAAACAAACATCCATAGAATGCCATGGAGCCAAATGCGTGCTCAGTTCGCGAGTCTGAGGTGCCGACGGCCTGGCCACTCCAAGATACAAAGCAACTGCCAAGAAGGTTGGCAAAATCAATCGCAAAGGCCTCAGTGCAAAGAAGCTCCGAACATGGCTCGACCACTCCATATGCAAGCTGCAGCTTCGCCTTGACATCGCTACTGACACCTCGGGATGTCAAATCTGCCATCCACCATCCGATGCACCCTGCACTTCATCATTCTGAGGCTGCTGCGCCGAGCCCGCAGTTGCACTCTGAAAAACTACAATTGCGCTTCCGTGAAAACGGCGAACCGACACTCTCCCTCAAAACTCACGCTCAACAACTCAGCTTTCGATTCTTACGACGCACTTCGAGTACAAATTTTGGGTCGTCCTGCCCCCCCCCCTCGACCACCGTCGAATGTCTTGGTTGATTCAACAAACCCGCTCTGGCACATCCTCTTTGACAAGCGCCAAACATCCGCCTACTTTCAGGCTGTCAGCTCAGCCTCATGTCGGTTGGATCTGTACAAGTCCAGCAGCAGCCGATGAATCCATGGCGAGCTGGAAAGGCTTTGTAGTGACGGCTCTGGTCGTAGCAGGCACGACAGATTAAACAGTTTTGGCCGCACTCCCAGTATCCCTTGCTGGCTCGCATTGGTTCGCTACTTCATGTCCTCCACTGGGATGCGAACCGTGCGACTGCAGCGGCAACTTAATCTACACGTCCATTGCAGCGGCAATGAAGACCCAAATGCTCAGCACCTGGGCTTTTCGTCAAGTGCTGCTTAAAACCTAGACATCTCTGCACCCCGAGCTGAGTTACAAGCCCCTGCGGCATAAGGAAAGATCCTCACCTCCGAGCCACATCCAAAATTTGCCTAGGTGCACCTGGCAAAACAACAGCCGCCCCCCCCCCCCCCCCCCCCGCACCTTGAGCGCATAATCGGCCTGGTCTCCGCCCAGCTCCAAGATGCGAGACTGGTAGATGGCATCCCAGATGAGGCTGTCAGATGGATCGGCAGTTAAAGAGGAGTGGCGGTCAGCGGTCAGACAGACGCTTTCAAAATCTCGGCTTTTTGCAAAGATCTCGAGCCTGTAGTCTTTGTACGGCTCATTGAAGGGCAGGCCAAAAACACTACGCCTGACATGCGACAACACAGCGAGGCCGCAGCTTCGATTCGCAGGCTAACTGGCTATTTAGTTACCAATACTATGTTAGGTGTTCCTACTATCAGCCTGTTCGATGCCTGTGCTGATCAAGCAACACCACTGGGGGTCCCACCCAGGCCGTCCCATCCTCCTGAAATCGTTCTCGATTTCGTGCATTTGTGCCTCGATGGCCTGCTGATGAGCCGACGCAGGCGTGGGCGTCTACCGGGGTATATCGGGCGTCAAGGAACTTCACGGCATCTGGCCTCGAGGGTTACAGGTGGTGTCGCATGCGACCTCTCAGAGAAATCACAATGAAGCAATATGTCGATGTCACTCGATTCGGTGGGGCACTTCAAGGGGAAGCTCGACTCGTAGCCACTTCGTCGCGCACCTCTCAACACGAGAGGCTTCCAACGAGCGCACGAGACCAAGTACCCTAAACCCTACACCTGTCCTACACAGGATTGGTTGAAGCCAGCGAGGCAGGTTGCATCCCACGCGCCTAAACCCTCAAAACCCTCTAAGCGGCAGACTGTTTGCCAGGGTCTCTAATCCCTCCAGGAGCTGGCCCAACCTGCTCTGAAAAAAGCGCAAGCAGATAACATATTACGTACTATGCTATCTATATACTTTGTGGATATGTATGTAACCGCGAGCTGCTATGTGCACATTTACATATGCTATGTAGAAAATGCAGACAAGTATGTAAGTGTATGTGTATATATATATGCATACAGCTATATTTTCCCTCGTCTTCGCCCTATATACGTATAATAATTACGTATACATATACGTATACACAGACATAGACATGGACACACACGTTATCACACGTTGACATGTACACATAGATAGACAGATCGAACCATCGATGGATAGATGGTCAGGCGTCTGGCGTTCCCAGCCCCCCCCCCCCCCCCCCCACGGTATGGTCTGATAGGGGTGGGGGGGGGGCCTGGCGTGTGCGGAAAGGGGTTGGGGGCTGTTGGAGCTGCCACTGGATGGTGGGGTGGTGCTGGCGGCCAGGGCTCACGCGCAAGCCCTTCGCAAGCAAGCCGTAAACCCTATAGCGCAGCGCGTGCAGCCGTTTTGAGCAACCTTAACTTGTACTTAAACCGCTGCACCCAACCTAACTGCAGGTTCTAAGCCTAAAGCAGAGCATACACCGCAAATCCTCCCTAAGCCCTTGTCGACTCGAAGCCTTATACCTTATAACCGTAAACCCAAAACTCAAAATCTTAAGCTAAATCCTAAACCCCAAAACCCCACAACCACCCCACAGGAGGAAGAGCAACCCCACACCCCACACCACAGGGGAGGGGGGGGCCCCACCCTATATCCCGACCATTGACCTTTGGGGGGGAGGGGGGGGGCTGCGGAGCGCGTGACCATAGATAGGTAGATCGATCGATAGACAGGTAGATACATAGAGATGTGTCATTAATATTGACATGTATTCGTGCATATACACACCTGCCTGTCAGCGATGACATGGTTGAACTTTGTGCTCCTGCTGTCCTGTGCTGCTGACACTTCGCCATCTTGGAATCAGCCCAATGCCTGACCCCATCCAGCCGTCCTTGACAATGGTGCCTTTGAGACCGGCGCGATGATCGATGATGTCCTGCTCCAGCCTGGACGCTTGCACGATTCTAGCCTGGACCAGTCCGGCGGAGAACAAGTGCCAGGACTTAAGTTCGGGCTCCGACTGCAGCTGGAAAATGTTCTCTAAGCGTGCAGCCTGCATTTTTCCCGGATGCACCGCTTTGCAGAATGTCGCCGCCTTAGAAGACTTCCAGTGCCTGGGGCTCATCCTTCGGCTGGAAGGTGAGCGCCTGGGAGGGATCCTGCCAAAAAGCTTAAAGAAAAACACTAACAAGAAATCGAAAGTTTTAGCTGCAGATGGCGCGCCTCCAAGCGCCACTCTTTGGAGAAATCTCTGACAAGCTCGTCCTCGCCTCGGTTTTGTGTGGACGTCCAGCTGTGCTGAGCTTCTTGCCTCTGCCTCTGGCCTGTCGGATCTGGCGGAAGTCCCGATAACCTCCTCAAATCCTCACGCCCGCGTGCGAAGAGCGGCTTCCAGCCTGTATGATGGGGCAACAGCCGACCGTAGCACAGCAGCGCTGTGAGGCTCTTCGTGCCCGACGTCTTGCATCGTCAAGATCCCAGGACAAGGCTGCAACCCCTTTGTGGGCACTTTTGGCCCGCTCACCTCGACTCAGGAGTGTGGCTCAAGAGCCATTAAATCCAGTGCTTGAGTTCACCTGCCGTCATTTAGATCCCGACTTTGGAGGTTGGCCCAGACCTGGGTGTGCTGCGTCTTGGGCGAGCACAATAACGGAACTAGGAATAGAGGTCCGACATTGTCCGCATTGAACACAAGGTGCACTTTCCGGATGGGTATGGAGGTCATCGCCTCACGCAAGGAACGGCTCTGGAAGAGGCTCCTCTGCAAAGCGCGATTTCTGCTACAGGGGCGCCTTCAGCACTGATGCCTGCTGCACGTCAGGCTGCGCTGCGTCGTCTTCCGTCTCAGATAGATGGGAGCTTCCGAATATAAGCGACCCTAATATAGCACCCGAAATAGTAGGATTTTGGTTACAAGGAGCCCAAAATAGGCTACGTACCCCTAATTAGTCCATTGCGAGTTCGTCATCCGAAAGGCAGCTTCCGAGCTCCAAGCCCCGGCAGTACCACGAGGACACAGACTCCAACCTAAGCCAAGCAAAGCACTGCGAGCTTCGCTTAGGGGTTTAGGATTTTAGGGTTTAGAGTTTAGGGGTTGGGGTTTTTTGACACTCACACTCGGACAAGCCTGGCAAGGTCTGGGGTTTCGGCGCTCAGGGTTTAGGGTTGAGGGTTTGGGGTTTGGGGGCACCGCCGACTTGACAGTCTCAATGCTTTGCTTGTTGCACATGCCCGAAAGTGTCCACTGCGCCGCGGACTTGGTTTTTCTGCCCTGAATCGCTCCAGTACAGCATCAGTTGTTCCGGAAGGCTGCTAATTGGCACCGGCGGGATGGCGCTTCAGAAACAAGGCCAGAAAGCCAACTGTACCTCAAGGGAGTTCCACGGAATGCAATCACACCTGCACAAGTGCAACGGCAACCGTGAACAGACCAACAACATGGCAGTTTCCGAAAATGGGGGACCTAAGTACAGTACCCTAAAATTGTAACTAGGATCCTCATTATAAGAACCACAAAAAATAAAGTATCGAGGAAAGGCTATCCTGAAGCCAAAGCCGCTGGCAACTGCGACTATCTTGGATGCCAGAACGGTCCGGGTGAACTCTTGATCGCTTCGATACAGCAGGCCTGGATCAAAATGCAATCCGAAAGCATCGTGCGCGGTACTCACTGCAACTTTGCAAGGCTGAAGTATGCTGAGGAATGAGGCCGAAGACCGACGGGGCCACAATGCGTCCAAAGTTCACGATGGCCGAGTCGATGCCTGAGGGCGTCCTATACTCTTGCATGGAAAACCAGACGGGTGCTCCACCATGCTGAAAAGCCTGAACCCTAAACCCACTCTGAACCCTACAGAATTCTTCCCGAGCTGCCCAAGAGGGCGCCACATCGACCCTGCGGAGCCGTCTGTACTAAGAGCGAGGGTAGAGCCGGCGAGACAAGCGCGCAGCCTCTCACAGGCTGCAAAAGGGTTGCTATAAAGGCTGCTACAAGGCTAATATAGTACCCCAAATAGTAGGATCCTTATTATAAGGACGCTAAAGTAAGGTACCTTGAAGGTTGCTATAAGCTTGCTACAAGGGGTTGTAGAACCGCATTGAGGCTTTCTAGGAAGGAGCTCTTGCGACGTCCCTGGAGGCCTGCGCCATACACGGCACCACAGGTGAAGACTCCAGCAAGGGAAGTGCCGACAGGAAGGCTGAAGAGAGCACCTGTGGCAAAACCCCGAGGTTTTACGTAGGCAGTACATGGATTTAGGGTTTCGGCGCTCACACTCGGACTTTTTTCCCTCCTACCTAGCAAGGACGAAGCCCGCATTAGGGCTTAGGGGCTAGGAGCTCTTCGACCAAGTGGCCCAGCCCGGCCAGAACCAGCAATGCGCCAAGGACCATGGTGATCTCCAGTCCGTGTCTCTGGCGGCAGCGTTCGAAGCCGGCGATCTGCACCTTGCAGGGTGTGACAAACCGAGTCGCCTAGGCTGCCAGTAAGTGCAGGCAAAGGACCGCTGCGATTGTCAAGGAGATGCCCGTGAGCACCTTTCAATCAGGCAGCTTTTGACACGAAAGCCACGCAACAAGGCATGGAACATTGCAACTTGCAACGTATAATAATCCTGGAGCTGGAGCCTGAACTGAGGCTCGAGCAGCTCCCATGTTTGTGAGGGCAAGCGCATATCGGCGCGCTAAGAGAAGCGGGAAGTAGGCATGAAAACAAGTCCTGTTGGCAATGATCACTGCAGTTGACAAAGTCAAAAAGCAGCCGCTGGCATGCGTAGATGCACGAGTCTGTGCTGTATGTAGACACGCATGCATGCAAACATGCATTTTTTTCCACTCACTCTCGACGAATCCGGCGAGGTTACTTGTATGCATACATGTGTATGTGGGCATGTGTGTTGTGTGGATGCATGCACGTACTACTTTACTTTGTGTGCGCGTATGTACAGATGCACCCATGTGCTGCCTTTTTGTATGCAAGTATGCAGGTATGCTAATTAATGCTAGCTACATGTAATCATGCCTCTATGCATGCGCGTATGTACACACGAGCATACGTATGTATGTATGTAGGTAGGCAGCCAGATAGGTACGTAGTCAAGCTGGCTGGCAGGTAGGCAGACGAGCAGGGAGGCACTTCGGCACGCAGGCAAGTACATACAGTAGATACGTGAGCAAGTCAGCGATGTATGTGCGTCTATCTATGTACAAACACGCATATATACACATACATGTGCATGAATGTGCACACATGCGGGTATTACTACACATGTTCTGCACATTCAGCGTGTCTTGCTATGATTTGCGGAGAATATTACTGAACCGTATGTAACATACGACCATCGTACCCTTGCACATCATGCAGACAGACAGACGTACGAAGATACTTGAAAGCATGCATACGTGCTTACATACCTTACATACACCTGCCTGAGTATCGCACCGTGTTTCACATTGTGTCCGGGAGTGTGTACTGGTTAGGCGACAGGTAGGCTACGATGTGCGGCTACGCAGAGAAGACAATGATACGGTCAATGGTGCTTCCATGGTATGTCGCCTACGCATGTTGCAAACTGAAGAAATCCTGGTACAGGCCCACAGAAACGAACAGAACAGCAAGGTCACCTTGGCTGCAGAATCGGGTCTTCTTGGCCCGACTCATTACTGCAAAGCTGGTGTTGAGCGCGGAACAGCCAACACAGGAGATCTTGTCGCAGCAGAAGTGGTGGACTTCTTTGGCCCTTTTCCACTCCTACGACAGCGGCGTCAACGGCAAGCTGCATCAAGCCGCCAACATCGCTGACCAGAGCAAAGCCACGGAGAAAGGGCCTTCGCTGGGTCGGTTCCGGAAGAACTTTCAGCGCCAGGACAGCTGCAAGTGCACCAGTGCACGCTGAGAAAAACATCGGAGCAGAGAGCGTCCTGAAGCAGGCTCGGATTCCATACTGTAGGGGCGTAAATAATTACCAACACTGTTTTGGGGTTCCTCATTATCATTTTAGTATCATGGGCCCCAATGCCCGATTCTCATTTGATAAGGCCCTTATATGACGCTGTGCCGGGAAACGTGCCGAAGCCCTTAGAATCCTTAGAACCAGAGACTTCTCCTGGAGGCGAGCGCTCCCCCAAGAGCTGGGCCAATGATGAACCTGCAGCTATCAAACCGACATGAGAGCACCACAGATTTCGAAGACGAGTCTCGCAAGAACCGGCAAGACGTCAGCTCAGGTGTAAATCCAAAAGGCGCCATTGTTCCAGCCGCTTCTCCTCATGCACATTCAGATTATTGATCGGCAGTTTCGAGCGCAAGCATGCGCGACAGCTGACTTTGCCAAGCCACTGTATGCCAAGACCTTCGGGACCTCTTCTGCATCGAAGGCATCCACTATATAGGCCTTGACCACGGGTACGATTCCGCTGAACATCCCGGAGACACCTCTGACCTCAGGCCCCCAAGCCACTGCGAAAGGCCGGGCAGAATCACTGCCGTGTCGTACTGGGGCCCTAATAATAAGAATAGGGTTTTGGTACAAGTATCCATTATATTACAATTGTAATTAGAACCCACAAATAGTATTCGTAATTAACCTTTAAGCCCTGAGAGGCCCTATAGCTGTAGTGGCTGTTTCTTGCGATCCAGCTGCGACGAGGAAAGCTGCAAAGGGCCAGCAGCACCTGGACAGGGCGATGTGAAGCTTTCAGAGATTTCTCAACATAGAGCACAACTGTTGGAGCTAGTCCGTGCATGCAACTTGCTGGAGGGACTATGCTGATTCTGCGTCATGGCCGGCAGGACTACTTTCGGAGCTGTGCAGGCAAGGGCGACAAAAGACAATCTGAAAGAGCAACAGCTCAAGCTAAACTAGTTTGTGAAAGGAACGGCCAGTGCCGTGCGTGATGGAGGCATGAACAGCATCTCTCACCGATAAAGGTCCAACCGAGATGCGCGATGGCCACACCCTGCAGGGCAGAGCCAACCACACCTCCCAGCAAGGCCATGAACAGTACCTTTCTGCGGCCAATGAAGTCGCTCAGAATCCTCATGGGCACATTGATGCGGCCACGGCTATGGCCACGGTATTGTGCTATGCCATTTTACAAAAAAAGCCAAGCTCTGAACCCGTGATCTTCTTGACCAAGCTTCGGCCAGCATGAGGTTGTGCAAAAGCGCCCCAGTGCAAAGGACGATGCCACCAAGCCGACGCCAATCTCCGACTTCATGGAGTAGCGCTTCATGAGTATAGGCGTGATCGGAAACATCGCCGTGAAGCTCATCAGGTTCAAAGAGGATATGGCAAGCAATGTCCACAATGTCATCGGACCAAGCTTTGAAGCCTCTGTAACGGTGCCCTGGGCTGCAGACTTCCATGACAGAAGCCTGCCGTCACCCAACCTCTCCCTCCTTGCCTTGCTGAGACTAAGCACATTCGGACGCCAGTTGAAGCCCTCACGGCTTTGGATGGAACGTGGCCGACAGGGAGAGGCAGAAGCCGCAGAGACCAGGGGTCTCCAGGCCCAGGCCTGCATCAGTCGTCACAGGCTGCCTGGACTCCTGGACCAGTCCAGGGCCCTCCATTCTGGCTCTACAAGGAGTCATCCTGAAGCCGACATCTCGCAGCAAAACCGGTCTCCCGCGGAAAGCTCTTCGTACACGCCGTCACACCACATGCCATGCAAACAGAAGGTGCATGGGGCACTTGCGCTGCTTCGCGGCGGCTGCGGGCAAGAAATAGCCTCCGATCCACAGTCAGATCTTAAGCAACAGCTGGAGTGAAGGAAAACCAGTTGGTTCAGACGAGGGACATCGACCCTTCAGCGCATGCCAGAACTCACAGTTCCCGGACTGCCTGTCCTGGCAGCTCAATGCATGTGTATGATTGTGGGAGCATGGTGACTTGCCAGCCGCACCATTCGCAATACCACGACGGCTTCTCCCTCCGGCATTAAGTCGCAGATTACGCAGTAGGACCTCAGTGCAGGGACCACGCGCCAGGCCATGGCCGCAGAGTCTGCCTCAGAGCTTCAAGGGCCGCTGCTGAATGTCTGAGGTGCTGTATCCTCCTCAGCTTCAGCTTCACAGGAAAGAAAGGAGTGGGTGCAGTTTTTCACAGAAGACCCTACCTACGCATTCCCGTCGATAGCGGTCGATGTAATTGAAAAAGTTGCACAGCAGAATGCAGTGCTCCTGACATAGGCAGGAGCATCTTGCCAGCAGTGTCTGATTGTTACGCCTGGCCCGGTCCTCCCAGTCTCCACATTGAATGTCCAGGAACTCTTGGTCCGTGCACCTCAAGGACTCTCACTGGCCCAAGCGTAGCAAACTGAGCAAAGCCCGCGACCACAAGTCTTCCACGTTCCACATTTCATTGTCCTGACCATGACGGCCGGGACACTGCGACGCAGAGCACGGAAGGTCTGCATGCAGACGAGATCTGTCTTGAACTTTCTGAGCGCCATCTACGGATATCTGCGGATGGGAGACTGCAACTGTTCTGTCGACATCACCACCTCCTTCCACTCGTTGCTCTCTACCGATCATGCGACCCATCCACGTCCGCTTTCAAAAACTTGGTGAGGTGGCACACAGCCGTAGCCGCAGATTACGACAAGACAAAAACGCAAAGTGGAGAACAGCTCTCGAAGCCCAGACATAACAAAAAAGGGTCGATTCACTTATCCCAAAACACCCGCAAAGGAAGAAGCCTCGAAAGCCCCGAAAAAGCCTTTGTGAAAGGCTTCTAGCCCTGGAGTGTATGGCATGCATCAGTTGGGAACGGTGAGGTTCGGCAGCACTCAAGAGCTCTGAAACGCGGATCTTTCTGTCTCTGATCCCTTTTTGCAGCAGGCCTCGTTGTCCAGCAGCCCGGTTACAGCAAGAGCCCCCCTTTAAACCCCAAACCCCTAAACCCCTAAACCCTAAAGATCCCGAAAACCCTAAAACCCCTAAACCCTAAACCCTAAAGATCCCTAAACCGTGAGCTCTTTGCGTTGTCAAAATGCTGCTCCTGGAGCCTCGGCAACGGCCCAAGGACCCTTCACTCGACGGAATATATTGTAATATGGGTGGTTGTCAAAATTATGGACCCTCTTTGGGTCCCTATTGTAAGGCGGCACCTATTATTTAGGAAAAGGGACCCTAATTTTGACAACCACCCATATATTTTAGTATACTACATTCGTGTTGCCATGTATAAATAAATGATATAGATTGATCTACTAAAACGTATGATCATGTGGTTCATGCTCACCTTCAGTCCCGACATCCTTTTGACACTGTCTCGTCGCTTGAGCTTGTCCATGCTTTGCATTGCCGACTTGCATTGGCCCTAGCAAGTTCGCGACTGACGCCACACCCCGACTTTGATCCCCCCTCGATCGAATCTCAGACTGCGCGAGTCGGGTCGGCATTGCACTGCTCTGGACTTGATTGTGCCTATCAAACTCAAAATGATGCGTGGAGGGACCAAGCCCAACCAGGCCAAATCACACCATCACACTGCCAGTGAATCTCTCTCTCTCGCCCTCCCTGCCCCTCTGCAAGTGTGCTGCCGAGACGGCAACCTGAAGCGAGGGAATCATCGATACGTATCTTGCAGCCATTTCCTGGGCTCTCTGCCTGATGAACTTAGAAATCTTGCACTCCTGCAGGGCCTGGCTCCTGACCCAGTAAGTTGGACTGAGAGGCAATTGCAAACGGATTCTCGGGCAGGATGTCCGGTGGCTTCTGTGGCCGAATGAAGCGGCAGATCAGACATGAGCGACCATCAACATCTGTGCCCAATGCCAGTATACCTCAGATGATTGCAGATATTCTTTGAGCCTTCACGAGTCAGAGCTGCGAGTGTCTAGGCTCATCGAAACGAAAAGACTCATAAAAAGGCATGCTCAGAACGTGGAGGGCCTGAGGGCGATCAAGCGGCGTGAATCACGCCGCGACTTGAGCAAGTCGTGCCATTTCCTTGCCATTAACTCGTTTTCTAAAAGGATGCACAGAAGCCGCAGTCGTAGCCAGGGATCTCGAGTAAACGATTCGGAATCCAAGCTTCTGAACATGCTTGAGCATCATGTTGGGCTCCTTTCCCAGGGTAATCTGAGGTTGAACTCCTTAGCGCAGGCATCGGGCGCATTTTGCGAGAATGCCAAGGCAGCGATGGCAGGTGCAGGCAGGGCTCGTGTTGGATGCTCGAGCGGAGGGTCCACTGTAACCTCCAAAGGTCGTCCAAGCACTGGTTTCTGGAGAGCGTTTCTGGGGGCCTCCAGACCCAGGCACATCATCTTCGCTGCTTGGCTGGACGGTGGAGGTGGCGGAGCCCCTGGCGGATCGTGGCAGCCTTCGACCTCCAGCCTCTGCGCGACCCGCTCCCTGCCTTCTGCTTGCACCGGTGGTGGCAGGCGCTGTTTCTCTGATTTGGGACGGTATCCGAAGAGCACCACGTGCCTGTCTTGCCATGGCTGTTCCAGGGCGGTGTGCCCGCGGGTCCCCAAGCAAACCGCACTCGAAACAGAGTCCGAGCGGCTGATCGACGGGAAAGTGCCCCTTGACGCTGCATTTCGCAGCATACAGAGTGTCCCATGGTAAGACGAACTTGCCGAGGTGGCCTCGGCTACAGAGACTTCCAAAGGCTGAATTCCTTGTCGTAACTCTAATTCCCGAGTAACTCGTACATCGAATCCTTACAGCAACCCTTATGACTGCCGTTCTCCGTTCTTGTCGCTCTTGCAGCCCGATTGCGCAATTGAGTTCGAACTCGCACTTCCTGGCCACTTCCGGGCAGTCTCTGCGACAGTTCATCCTGAGAAGAGACTATCCGCTTGCGGCTGCACAGAAGACCCAAAGGCAACCAATGTCATGGTGCGGGCGGGAGTCGAAGACGTTTATGGTGAGCTCGCCGCTATATTTGATCCTTGTACTAATCACTCGCAACCAGGGCGGGTACACAGGACAAGACAGACGGACCATTTTTAAGTCCATCCAAGGCCGCCACAGATTCTCTTGGGTGAGCTCCTCCATTCCGGCTATGCCGGCTGCGTGGAGGGGAAGCTCCAGAATCTGATTGATGTCCTGAGACGTCTTGCCAGCTGTGGGAAGGCACGGAGGTTTCGCGTTCAACCCTTTTTGCCGACGGAGCTGCTGGATCAGTAGATTGCTGTGCTCGCTCGGTCCGCTTGAACAGAAGATTTCCATGGAAGTCCTGTTCGACATCTGTCGCTAAGACCTAGATTCTAGATTGCCAGAGCAGGCAATTCATTGATTCATTGTCCTGAAGAGTCATCTCGATCACGATTTCTGGCAACTGCTGGGTTTGTATTCCAGCAGGGGTGGCCCCAAACCTCGCCACAAACAAGGGCCAAGAAGGTTCGCAGAGTCAAGCACATCATTCTAGGAATCTTTTTTCCCACCCGCCCAGCTTCCAGGAATCTACAGTCTCAGGTGGCCACACCCCGTCCGATGAGCCAGCAAAGGGGCTGCCCATCTGTCGCGGCCACTGAAAGCCGCGTCCTTGCAGAAGTATGATGATGCAACATGCTGCAGCATCGGCATAAACCAAAGACTTGAGAAATCGCCAAAGTCACCCTCCTGTCATGCTGACTTTCTGAATCTAGCCGCTAACCCTGCCTGGCCCAGAAACAGGCGCGCCGAATGTTTGCAAGCCCGGAACGCCTTCCAGGCTTGAGCTTGGCAGTAGACAGAACTGAAGTTCTGAAGTGCCAACTTCCTTGTCACCGCACCTCCCAGCGGCGGAGGAGGTGCGGACTGCTGTGCTACCGCTTCCTGCTGCCAGCGCAGGGGGGCCTGCGCCAGAAAGCTCACACAAGCCATAGCCGTAGCCCCGAATTCTACCGGTGCACCATACCGTCATTGAGGCCAGCACGTCGTAAACCTTTGCCAGGGAAATATGAACCTGACGGAGCGAAGCATGCCACTGGGTAATATTCCTGCGTTGGCAACTTGCTGCCCAGGGGCCCGTATGCTCTTCACGCTGCTTTCAAACCTCCTGCGCCCGCCCGAGGGTCGCAAAGTGTGCTTGGGCTGAAACATCTTCTGGAAGCGCTCCAGCAGCCTGAGAAGATGGTCTACGACGAGCCTACGACGCGCATAACGTAGAACCTTAATAATTAGAAGAAAGCTATGGGGTACATTGTACTAGAATTGTAATTAGGAAACCTGCTGGAGTGAACCAGCAGGCATAGAAGCAGAAGCTACTAGTGGGGTAGCTAATCCCCTAGCAGAGTCTTCCCAACTGCCCATGGCTCACTCGAACACGGAGGTTTTACACGCAAGCAAAAGATCAGAAACATGACTAGGGCATGACACCAATGTTGATGCATGTGCAAATGTGATTAAAATGCATTGCTCAAGGCTGTACTGTTCGGGCCTAAAGAGCAAAAGAGGAAAACGTTTCACATGTACACGTGACGTGAGCTACAAAGGTGGCATGCTTTTCAGCACTCCTCCTTCGCAGCCCCGCCAGGGAGTTGCGACCTACTTGCTACTGCAGGTCAACCCGTCAGGGTGACGCCATGCCTACCCTGAACTACCTGGCAAAAGCTGGGCCAACTGCCCTCACTCTGCGAGGGCTCTCAAGGCACCTCGTGCGGAAAAAGACACAGCTGCGGATGAAGCTCACTGAAAGATCCAACCCGTTAGGGTGGAGTAGTTCCTACCCTGTGCTGTGCTGGGTGTGGTCGGCAGCACTCCGGTGGCACTGCTGGCACACTTGAAACTCAACAAACCTGTGCGAGTGGGCGAGCGTGGAACAGGTCTTAGTGCGGTGGAGCTTGGTCCCCTCGGGTGTTGCAAAGTAGCGCGTTGGTGCTCCACCTGCCTGCTCACGCGTGCGAGTTGCTTGTGAGGGGCGGCGTCTGGGCACTGCAGCAACAGACTGCGAGCTTGCTGCCTCCTCACGTGCAGAGATCTCGGCCTGGATGGCCTGTGCAGTTTGATCTCGAAGGCGCTGTAACTTACGCGCCTTGCGGGGGCTCAGGGACAACACGGGTGTCCCTGCCTTTCGGCGGGAGATGACGCCTTGAAGGCACCACTTGCAGAACTCCCACACTGCAATGAAGCAAATGCCAATGCAAATGATGGATACTGCCAACATCAAATCTGCATCAAGCGACACAGGGAGAGACAAGTCTTCTTCCTCGTCTGCTGCCTGGCTAGCAGCGCCTATGACTTGCAGGAAGAAAACAAGCCTGAATAAAGCACTCACCGGCTGATCACGTTGACCAACTGCACTTGCTTCCGCAGTGCGGAACAGGTTAAACCCGAGCACGCTCCAAAAGGCTGCTGTCACAAGGCCTTTCGGTACTGCGGCAAAACACAAAAGTTTGAGCGGCACACTTCCTGCGAAAAGTTGTTGGGACTCCTCCTGGACTGGAGGTCCTGGTACTGTGCCACTAAAACCAAGCAACCTAACGCACGGCTCCTCCTCAACCCAGTACGGTACTGGAGTGCCTGTAGCTGCTGAGGGCAGTGTCCTGAACACGCCGGTGCAAAGTGAAGGCAAGCTTATGCGAAGGACGACAAGTACGAGCAGCCACAACAACAGTTGGAAAAGGAGGTTTGCCGTCAGACGTCGGCGTGTGTTGTGGGTCCCACCCTCCCGGAAGGCGGTTGCTGGGACTGCAACACTATTGGGCACTGTGGTTTCGTGCTCTCCTCCTAGCTTGGTGGCTAGGACCTTGTGGACGGTTGGCTGGACGTCACGCGGCCCAAACCCACACAACGCCCCAGAACCATCTACACAAAGTTCACCCGTACACCACTGCGGTAGATCTGGTATTGCTGTATACCCATCTCTTCCGAGTGGGGAATGTGGCAGGCGCGTCCAATCCAAGTCATAAACGCTTAAATCCCTGATGCCATCGCTGATATTGCATCCTGCGGGATTGTCGTCATCCCCATCGCTGGCGTCCAACCTGAACCACAACGTGTGGGAACCACTACGCTGGGAACCATCCTCCACTGGGCGTTCAGTGGTATGAGGGCTCAAGCGTGAGTGAGATGCAACCGAGGGGTGCGAAGTTGGGGATGTGTTGCGTTCAATCCCACGTCGGGTCACCGTGCATTTCTCCAACTGTGATATCAATGTGAGGGCCTGGCTCTCAACCAATTCCGGGCAACCATTTTTGACCCGAAGCCTCAGCGACTTACCATCAGGAGGATAAAGCTTGCAACTACCAGCGGACCAAACTAGCTTGTATCCCAACTGCTCTATGATGGCACCCATGGGGACAATTGGCTGCACCAGGCCGTCCCTCCCGGGAGGCAGTAGGAGAGTGCCCACGCGCGTCAAACGCATGATTGTGGTTTGGTCGCCGGCTAAACTCACTTGTACCTCCTCTGTGGCCTCCCACTCCTCCTCAGATGATGCTTGCCGCATGGGGCGTGTGGCACCGGAGTCCAAAAGCGCATATGCTATGGGTTTGGGGGCTACAGACAACCCCCCATTCTCGGCTCGAGAATGGGGGTTTGTCCCACCCTGATTTTCGGCATTTCCCAACCCCCGAGTTGGAGCCTCCTGATGGGGGGGTTGGGAGTCCCGGTTTGGGGGGCCCGAAACCGGGAAACAGCTTACGGGCACGACTGAGCGAATCGTCAGCCTCTTCACCGAAGGATTGGGTGTGGACGATGCGGGTACGGACGATGCCGGTGGCGCTGAGGGCTGCTGCGATGCAGTACTCAAGCCTTCCGGCTGAGGTTGAGGCGGCTGGGCATGTGGTGTGGTGTCGCTGCGCGGTGGATTGGCCTCCAACTGCCTTAAGGCTTGAACTGCCTGTTGCATGAAGGTGTCCATGTTGAGCACTGGGGTGGCTTGGACAACGGGTTGGCCTGAGGATGTGAAAGCTGCCTGTACGGACGGTTTCTGATCTGGCGCTTTGGGTTCCGCCTTACCTGCCTTGCAATCCTTAGCGCGATGCTCCTCGGAACCACAATTCAAGCACTTCTTAAACCGCTCATCCTTAGAGAGTTCGGCCATTGAATGTGCGTATCGGCACTTTTGGCCAAACCTGCAGCCCTTAGGCGATAAAAAGAACTTGCATGGTGTGCCACCCGCCCCACTGACACGTTCACCTGCCTCATTTGCGCTCACTGCCTTGAGCTGTGGAACGTGGGCGTCGTCAGACTTCACTGGCACCATTGCTCCGGCTAGCGTTTCAAACTCAGCCAACAAATGCCTGTGATAAGACCTGACCGCCTCTTCCGAGGGGCGTCCGTGAAGCTGCAATGTGCTCTTCACTAGCTCCGTGCGCCATGCTACCTCCGGTTCCTTACGAAGCACTGGCTTAGTCATTGAGGTGAGGGCACTCACCAGGACCATGGGATCCGGTAAATTCATGTCGCAATCCACGCAGCGCTGATACCACCTACCCCAAGCCCTCAAAGCTAACACGCCTGACGTTGCGTTGTCCACCTCCGCTGGATGCTGCAAGTTGGTCAACACTAAAGACCTCTCAGCCGTCCCTCCCGGGAGGTATTGGGTGCAACCTGAACAGAATGTGTGTAGCCATCCGCGTGGTTTTACGGGCTATGAGGTCCGCCTTAACCGTCTCATCCAGGGCACCCAAAAGCATCACACACGCCCTAGCATTCACCCGACTCCATTTGCCCTCTACCAACTCCGGTCTGTCATCAGGCTCTATGCGCAAACGCTCAATGGGACTTGAAACTACCCACCTCTCATAGGCGTCACGGCTCACCTGCAGAACAGCCGCCCACCAGGAGCCCGAAGTGTCCGAAAGGTCACCCATCAAACCACTTACCAGTTGTAACCAATCCTGGAAATCCAGGGATCCTGTTGAGGGGTCTGGAGTGGCCAGTTTGGGCAAATCTGAGGTGCCGGGCTTTACCACTTCAGGAGCATCACTATCCTTACCCCGGAGTTGCTGCAATTGCACGCTTTGTAGTTGTTGCATTCCTAGGATTAGTGCATCTAATGCGGGGTTGCCTGACGCAAGGCCGTGAGTCCCCTCATGCGGTATGGGAACCGCTCCTCCTGGAACTGAGCCTCCTTGCAACCCTGGTGGGGGTGGTGCCTGAGGCAATCGTGTTCCCCCTGGCGTTGCACTGTCGGCATGGGCACTAAAGGCCCTGATCTCCTCCAGACTGGGGGTTTCGACGCGAGATTGGGAGTCTGGGCCAGAAGAGGCCAGACCACCCGCTGTTGGTCCGATCCCAGCCCTTCCGGGAGGAGACGCGCGATTTGGACTGGCATATGTCTGATGTCCAACCCTTCCGGGTGGAGGCGCGCTTGCATCCCTTGCAGACCCACGCAAACCTCCCAACCCGGACATGAAACTCGACAACAAACCCGGAAAAGATGTAGCCTGAATAGCGGGTGCCACAGTCCTACTGGCATCAACCGCTTGAGGTGCCACACCTTGTACCTGAGATGTGATTGGACTGACAACCTGAGTGACCTGTGATTGGGCATGTTGGAGTAGCGGCAAAGTAGGTGTGGTTGCCTGCGGGGCAGTGTTTGCTACCACTACTTCCCTCAACATGTGGTCTCTCTCCTCCAGCTGCCTCCTTAACCTCTGTATCTCAAGGTCCTGGGCCTCAGCTCTCTCACCAAACCCCGCTAGCTGCCGTGCAACCTCAGCTTGAATGGCTTCTTGAGGGAATGATGACGAGTCGGTGCGACTCTGTGGCCTTTCAGGCCCTCTACCGTACAATACCGGGGCCCTCTGCTCCGAGGCTTGCATGCGCTGCAGCATTTCAGCACTTAGCAAAGGGCCATCCCTTCCGGGAGGCGGTGCAAAGGATGTTGGAGTACCATGCGCTCCCATTTGTGGTGGCGAGCTTGTATGCGAACCCAAACTTCCTTCTCCCAAGGCCAATTGCCCTGAAGCGCCACTCGGACTATCGCGAGTTTGTGATGTGGTTCGTGGTGGCGTGGCGTGTGTGCCTTGCAACACTGCGGCGGGTACTTGCACCACCTCAGTGCGCGCTACACGGAAAAATTCCCCAACTCTCGACATGAGTTGAAAACCTGTAGCAGGTAACCCTTCTACCACTTCGGCGATGGTAGGCAATCCCTGCTGCGACCTCGGGGTAACAAACCCCTCGGCTCCCACGGTCTCCCCAGTTGACCTTATACCCCCCAACACTCCACCTCCGCTCAAATCCGTAGCCAGACCGGCCTCATTTGATACGGCTTGATGTGCGCTGGCGTTGGTCTCTGGTCCTGGGCTTCCGCCCGGAGCTGTGCTTTGCGGCAGTGCACTTCGGGGCGCACGAGCAATCCCACCATCAGTGGTGGTCGACACCTGGGGTGTGCCTTCTACTGGGTCCCCACTTCCAGATGCCCTTCCCGCAGCCATATGGGACGCAAAGCCTACTCCACCTGCAATGTGCACTTGTGCAGGTGTTGGTGTTGCGTCCTGTGTACCTGGGTGACCATCCCTCCCGGGTGGTGGGGATGGCATAGTGCCCAGGGTGCCGTAGTGCCCTTGCCCAAGCGTTGGGCTCATAACCTGCTGGAGTGAACCAGCAGGCATAGAAGCAGAAGCTACTAGTGGGGTAGCTAATCCCCTAGCAGAGTCTTCCCAACTGCCCATGGCTCACTCGAACACGGAGGTTTTACACGCAAGCAAAAGATCAGAAACATGACTAGGGCATGACACCAATGTTGATGCATGTGCAAATGTGATTAAAATGCATTGCTCAAGGCTGTACTGTTCGGGCCTAAAGAGCAAAAGAGGAAAACGTTTCACATGTACACGTGACGTGAGCTACAAAGGTGGCATGCTTTTCAGCAAAACCCCTAATAGTATCTTTGGTAACTACTTATTTAGGCTCCTATATATATATATATCCAGCTAGTAAAGCATCTTCTCCCTGCCAAGCTGCTCAAGCAAGTTGCCTTCCTCTGCTTCCTCTCCATACTCGCGGACTATACCTTGTGGCTCACAACTGCAGCTTTTTCCCAGATGGCTCCCCGCCATATATAGTACACAACTTCTATCATATGACGAGAAACATATAGTGCACAGTATGTAGTACATAATGTGTACAAAATGTCGTATATAACCTATGCATCATAACGTAAGAGAATATGACATAAAGTATGTATGTAATAGTACGTAGTATGTGATGTACTTTATAATCTTTTGGTATATGGCGCACAATCTCAACATATGTGTGTCCAGATGCTCTTGTACGACATGTGGGTCTTCACCATCGCCATCTTCCGAGTCCGCTCTTCAATCCTCAGTCAGTCGCTTCGGGCTTCGAGGGGCCTAGACGGGTCTATAAGGCTTGTAGGGTTCAAGGGGCTTCTAGGGCTTATAGGGTTCAAAGGGCTTCTAGATTTTATAGGCTTCTAGGGAAAATAAGGCGAATTTTTGCCACTCTTCTAGGGTCTTTGTTGATGCTCACACTCGGCAATGCCAGGCGAGGAGGGTTTAGGGGTTCAAACCCACATCTTGACTTCTATTTCAGTTGAGAATCCTCTTGCGAAAGTCCATCTGGTACCTTAGGCCACCATGACTCTTCTCCATCATCGAGCGGCCAAAACCCTGAACTAAACCCAAAACTCAACCTCCTGCTGAAGACAGGTTGCACACTTTCCTTTTGCTTTCCGGCTTTCGTGTCAGATGCTTCCTGTTTCTGCTTCGCTTCCTTCTCCTCTCGCACCTCAGCAACATGAGCCAAGTGTGATTATCATTACTACTGACTTTTTTCTCTTCATTTGGCCTTCTATCATGCTACCACCATTTCATCTGACAGCACATGCATCCATCCGCTGCCCACGCTGCCGGCCTCGCTTTCGAAGCCAGGCACCAAAAGGCGCTCACTGTCCATACCTGCACAACTGACAGCAAGAGGGGCTGTAAGAATCAACTATAGCAGTTGGCAACTGTGTTCAAGAGTCAGTCAACAATCAAAACCTGTCTCAATGTAACACAGCCGGCGAACTGAAAGCAAGAGCAAACGCTAGATATCGTCTTGTATATAGTGCATCTTCTCTTTGTACTTTTTTGATGCTTGTCGTTCCCGCAGCTGGCCTGCCCGCTCCACTCGCTGCAGCAACTTCTCCACACGCAGGCCACGCAGCTGGCCAGCCTGCAGGCTCCCATCAATGACCAGAAGATCCCATAAGTACAGCTAATGTAGGGGCCTTAATCATTAGGATAGGGTTTTGGGGGCTCCTTGTTATCGCTATGGTAGAATATACCCCCCCTGTTCTAATTGTTAAGGGCCCTATGTTACCCCAGCACACGTACGGACGAATATGCACAGTTGTCACTGCGCTTCCTGCGTGTCCTCGCTGCCTAGGCGGCGGCGACCTCACCGAGCTCTTTGCTCTGCACGGACATTCCCCGAGCAACATCTGCTCCCAAATGTCCTTTGAATGCTGGACGAGACACAGAGGTGTGCATCTTCAAGCCGTGTTCCTTCTGGTCCCTTGGCATCTTTGTTTCTCACATCTTTTCTGTCCCATCCATCATGTGCGGAAGACAGCCCTGCGCCTTCCCGCGGAATTCCGTGGACGTTGTCCCCGCTTCTGGAGCCTGGCGCGCTCTGAGAACAGGATCCACAGAACACCGTTCTCACCCTATGGTACCGCGATGTCCTCACGGTCGATTCGCATCTTGTCCAGCTCTTCTTCTGGCTTGGCCTCCTCCTCCGCTTTGCAAAAATGATGTCTTGCAAGACGGTTGGCAAGCAGGTCAAGGGCAGAGACGCCTTCTGCGAGGCTGGAGATCGGGAGCGGAAGCATGGCCTCAGATCAGGGACACTTCACTGCACTGCACTCTCCTCGCGGCTTGGACAGCACTGGGCGCGCGGCAAGCACTTCAAGTTGGCCACAGGCTGGCCTTCCAGCTGCATTCACATTTTTTAACGTGTCTTCTTGGCTCTGTGACACTGTGAGCTCATTGACCGCACGCGCCTTCTGCGTTCAACGGCGCTGGTGGTGGCACGACATAATCACCTCGTCCTGTGCTGTGCGAAAGACTTCCGGCACAACCCTCACAGAACCGCTAAAGCAACCCCTAGCACCTTCACGTACTAGAAAGCCCTTCATAGACCCACATCGAGCCATTTCGGAACCCTGTTCGTCTGCGGTAAACCCAAACTCCCCCTCGCCGCAGAGCTGAGGGACCTCCTCCAGGCCAGGAGACACACACGGCCACTTCGCCTTTGAAAGTCTGGGACCTGAGGTTCTGCTGAGAGCCCCGTTTAGGACACCCGATATAGCAATCGTTTTAGTTACCTTCATAGGGCAACTGTTGCATAAAATGAGAAGGAAGCACGAGCGGCACTTCAGACTGCGCTGCATGCTGCATGACCTCTAGGTTTGAAGGCACACAACACGCCCCATCGCCGCAGCTAGATCTGCAGTCATGCAAACGATGCAACAGTCGCATGTCGTCTTGAAGGGCCGTCTATGCAAACTTTGCTTCATGTGCTGTCACAGTCCGTACGCAACTTTCGATGCTGGCTCCAAGACTGCCCACTCTATGAAGCTTATGGATGTGTGTCGGTCTCGCAGCAGCAAGTGAAATTCCGAGCTCCATGCAGCAGACCGTCCTCCTCGCCGAGGTCATCCATTCCTCACGGTGTTGGGATGTGCTCAGTCCTACACATCCCTGCCCGCGGCTCTCTCGGTGCACCTGGCCCAAAGAGGAGATGCTGCTCGAGAACTGCAGCATGCGTCCTGAGATGTTCTATGTGTCTCCGTGATTTAGCTCTGGCAAATGAGTGTTACCCATGATCCGCCCGCTTACTGGAGTAGGCAAGGCTGTTGGCCAAAGAGCTCCGTGTCTTTGATAAGCCGTCTCATCTTTGGAATGAGACTCGTAGTTGAGCATCTCAAGCGTTGTGTGCGCGCCAGCAGCACATGCAGGAAGAAGACGTGCGCTCGGTAGCTACTGTCTTCCGAAGTCCAGTTCGGGCGAGTCTCACTCTTCTGCCCTCTGGGCTCGGAATGTCTAGTTGAACCTGGCCGCCATGTAAAGGTCTGCATGCGATCGAGACTCACGCGGATTCTATCAGGCCCACCTCCCGAGCAGCATGCCAACGCGGCCACCAACCTGCGATGTCCCAAATGCCCGGGTTTCAAAATCATATGTAGGTGACCTGGCAAAACACGGACCTCCTGCCGAAACGTAGACCAGAAAGGAGATATTCTGGGGCATTACGTGCACGGCAAGGTTGAAGCCTGGAAAGCTTGCAAAATGAATGCCGCCGCCGCCGCCCTCCGATTGCAAGCCATTTAGAGTGGTGACTCTATATATGCACGCGGCTATGCACAGGCCGAATGGAATCAGGCGCCCCTGGCAGAGTTCCAGGAACCTTCCAGGTAAGACTCTGCAAGAGAGTTGACATCAATTGACCGGGGACCTCTTCCAGCAAGGCTGCGGCTGAAGAAGTGCTGCCGGTGTCCCAACCTGTAAGGTCTGAAGATGTTGGAAGCTCCATCTGACCAGCAAGCACTGCAATCAGGCAAGTGCGGACTGGTGACTGATGGACATGGCGGGACTTCTCCCGACAACCCGGTCACTCACCCGGCACTCCACGCAAACTCGCACGCGGCTGGCAAGTTGCCGGCGTTCCAGTTCCTGCTGCTGTCGGAAGGACGTAGCTGCTGTAGCTCATGCTGCCTAATTTAGCCTAGCTTCTAGCACATGCTCCGTCTGGACCCGTACCCCAGCGAGCTCTGCCCTTCCAACAAGCTTGTCCTCCGCAGCCGAAGAGGCATCTGCATCTCCCACGATTCCATCGTAGGCACGTGACCGCAAAGCCTCAAACAGGTTTTATGACTTGTAGGGATTCGCCACAAGCTTCGTGTTTCTGCCTCCCGATGCAGCGAGCAGGAACAACTTATTGAGATTGATATACGCGGATCTGAAAGTTCTGGCAGCCTCTTGCAGAGTCAGGCGAATAGACAAGGGAACGACCTGAAGCTTTCTGGCTGCTCCAAAAAAGACGACACGATGCATAAAAAAGACAGAGCTTCGTTTACGGTTCAGAAGGTTCGCTGAAGGAAGCTTGGCTGTGTATGTCATCGGAAGTGAAGGGGGCAAGAAGGCGAAGTTCGAGGCTTGCGAAAGGGTCGCAGGGGGGTGAGACGGCAAGAGTGGCATACCAAAGGCACGGTCTTGAAAACAAGGAAGGAGTAAGTTACCTCAACCGACGGATTAATTTGACGAAAGAAGACGCAGCCTACACATTCGCCGGGGCACCTCTGCAGACGTCAACTCCACGGTGGGTGAGAGCTCGAAGCGGTAGGATGGCTGGCCTTCGCGATTGAGGCACGCAGTGCCACAGCCAGGAAATGCGGGATTCTTTACGGACTTCGCCTGGCCCCCGCTTGGCCATGTCCCACTTGTTCTGAACTCGGTCCTCAGCTGATCTGACTTGAAAACCTGTCTAGGAGAACTCCGATAGCCAAGAAAGGATCTTGCCACTGACGGGCAATGCAAGTAATCCCCAAAAGCTGAGACATGAGCACGCTCTTGCTCAGCTGCGAAACCTGCCACAGTTGCTTGGGAGCTTCCACTGACCGCTACTATCCGCTACTTCTACGGACTGGAAGCACACTCCCTTGCTGCCTACGTCAACCGACACATGTTCACAGCATGGTGGACAAAGCAGCTCCACCTTGTAGATAGCTGGTTTCCTCTATCTCGGCATCCACGTTCCGCGCCTTCGGCAAAGGCTCCCTACAAGCGTCGGTCTGCAAGCAGCTTTGTTGTCAATGGCTTAGCCTCAAAAGCCTGTATAAGCCTACGCTACACAAGTGCCCAAGAATTCTCAAAATGTCGTACAGCCCGAATAGTAGCCAAGAAGCCCGTCGTTCAGTGTCGGCCGAGAGGTCATGCTCCTAGAATCCACACATAGCTTTGTCTCTCGCGCGACAGGCCGGGACCTGGCCTTACTAATCAGAGAAGGGTTCTTCGGGTGGGAGTTTCTACTGTTCTTATAAGGAATAGTATTTCCATGTAGTTGTTCAGGCCCATAAGGGCGATTCCGAAAGTAGGGACCCTTAGGAAGTACCCGAGAGTACCCTAAATAGTAGGTCCTTACTGTAAGGATCCCAAAATACGGTACCCCCAATTTTCGGAAACTCCCATGTGTTAACGCTCCTTTTTCGATCCGAAAGCCCTCAATGGAGCTCCTGGGGCTGCGCTGTCAAGCGCCACGGGGTGGACACGAAGCCGAAATCCTGTCACACGGGGTCATACACCTAATCGATCCCACGTTTATTTGAGCATCAACCCATACTATGATATATGATGCACCCTATTTCCTATCTATCTTCACGTTTATTTGTTCATCAACCCTATATACGATCTATGTATCACTCAATCAGAATTGCCATTTAACGACGGCGACACTGCCCAGCCTGTCGCACTTGTCGCAGTTCCCGCCATTTGCCGTAGAGATTCTTGCAGACTTGCTCGAAAAGCGTTTCTTTCTCGTCTCGCCTTCGGACATGAAGACTTAGAGAAGCTGTTGCAGTACGATCTGCATGCCTGGCCCGCACTTTCCTCCTTTCCTGCCAGAAGAGCTTGAGATCATGCACCACCGGGCACCACAGTCACTAGAGGCCCTCTTCTCTGCTCCACAGGCCTGGAGGTTGCTTCGGTAGGCTTCTCTCGCGGCCAGCACGGCCTGGGCGGCCTGCGTGGCCTGCGCATCGCTGGGGAGCCCTTCGGCCTTGGAGTACCAGACAGAAGAAGCCCGCACGTCTTGTCAACGACAGGTGCCGGTCCTCGAACAGGGCGGTGCGCAATGCCTTCCCGCGCTCCACGAGCATGTCCAAACCTTACCGGGAGGACAACATTTCAACTGACTTCAGCGGCGCCGAGCTCTGAGACTGATGCGACTGTCAAGCTGCGCCACGATGTGGCTCTCCATCTCTTTCTGGTATCGGTGGAAGAGTTCCTGCAGCGAGGAAGGCACATGACTCACAGGACACATGCAAACACACCATCAAATCCAAGAGGAAAACCCAGCAGCCTGCAGTTCACCTGCAACCCGCGTCTCGCGGCTGTCCAAGGCATCAAGGGAACTGGCCCTTCGTGCCTTGACTGAGTCGCACGGTCGCAACTTCAACGCTGAGATTTCCACACGCAAGCAAAGCTTTCTGAGGCGATGTCCAGGTCTCTGGATGCCAGTGGAGCTTGGAACAGCGAGATTCGGCTTACGTCCAGGCCTGCGCTTCGTGAGATTTTGCTTTTTGGGGAGCCTCTAACTCTGCCAGGAAAAAAGCTTTGCAGCTTCTTGATATAGGGGCCTTAATAATTAGAATAGGGTTTTGGGGCCCTTTATACTATAGGTATAATAGGGAACCCCCCAAAATGGTTCTTTTGCTTCCGGGAGACGCAGCTCGTAGAGATGACTGGCCACCAGATGCCGCCTGCGGCTGCGACTCGCAACGACGGGCATTGGCAGTTTAGGGTTTAGGGTTTAAGGTTTTTGTTTTAAGGACCCTTTTCCGTCTCGAAAAGGTTTAGGGTTTAGGGTTTAGGGGGTTTTTGATTTGAGGTTTAGGGTTTAGGGTTTTTTGCTTTGGGTTTCGGCGCTCACACTCGGCTCACAAGGGAGAAGTCGGAATCCCAAGCGGCGCCTTTTCGACTTCACTTGCGATCGGAAGCGCAGGCCCAACCTCGGAGAAGCAGCTCGAGGCTGAAGGGCGGCCAGAAGCTGAAAAGAAGCTACAGCTAATGTAGGAACCTGATTAAGAAAAACCCTGGGCCTATAATCCCAAAATGGTAGGATTCATATAAGGAACCCTAGTAAAAGCCCAAGGTTTCTTAATCAGGTTCCTACATTACTCGGCTACTGAGTCGCCGACTTATTTAACCAGTAGACTTCCTGTGCGACTTACATTGAGGTGGGGCCGCAAGGTGTCGTATCCTTCTGCCGGTCCTCCAGAGGGGCAAGCCGGGGTGCGCAAAGACCCGAGCCCAGCATCTCGCGATCTTCATCCGAGCGCAGCTGAGCGGCAAGGGCCACGAGAGGACATATAATTTAACCGAGTGCCATTCTGGTGCGAAATTACAGTGGGTTTGCCCGAGGGCTCCGCTTCTTGTGCGCGCTCATCCAAGGTTGGCCCCGGCTTGGCAAGGACAGATCGCTCGAGCCTGGGGGTTTCTTTCTAGCCAGGAGGTCGATCTCACATGCACGGTATCACCGGCGCTTGGGCGCTGACTGGAGATACAAACGCTCCCGATTCCACGGCTCCGTCACATGGGCACCAAACGCAGCACGGAAGAGCCCATCCTTCGACGGAGTACAAAGCAGTGCTCCCCAAGGGTCTGAAGACTCTTTTGCGAGCGCTCCTCTTGCACCACCCAGCTCTGGACATCGGCACTTGAGCTCGGAAAGCCTGGCATCTTCTGGTCTTTCCGCACAGTGGGCAGCAAATGGAACTCTGCTCCTTGACCCATCATCTCCTGTGCTTCCAGAAACATCCTGAGTCTGCCATCTCCGCGCTCCGCAACGGCCGAAATTTGACAGAGGGCCGGTTGAGGCCGGAACGGCTCCAATAAGGCCTCCCCCAGGCGCAGGTACGCTGCAGAAAACAAGCACGGCTTGGATCGAAACTGAACGATCTCACAAATTTCTGATTGTTGAAGGTTTCTGTGTTAGTTCTTGCCTCGGGGTCTGTCAGCACCGCCAGAGAGCGCCAAAGCAGGGCTTGAAGTCTCAGGGCCTCGCGGCTTCGCGAAACTGCAACATGCACTGCTGCACTTGGTTTCCTTTAGCGTTCCCGAGTGCCACGCCAGGCGCTGTGCTCCTGACGTGACCGCCAACAGCAAAGGTCGAAGCCATGACCGCTCCTGCAAACCGCTGCACACGGAGGAGCATTGAGTTGGGTACAACACGCGAAGCTCATGTTCAGCAGCTCTCGGTGGCCTGCGCCACGAGCGTGGTGAGAGTTTTGATCTCAACGGCTTGAGGTGCCGTGCTGTCCTCGGTCAGCTAGGAAGCACCATATCACGCCGCTGCCGTTGATGTCTTTCTCTGGTGTGATTCTCACCACGAAACATCGGCCTCCCTCTGCGACGCCAATGCTGCGGCCCTCTTGCGCCGAAGTGTCTGCAATGGGTCGACATCAATCTCATGGGAGCAGGGTGTACCTAGAATGCTTGCCTCGAGAAACTGATTTCGACGCAGGAGATTTGCAGCCTGATCAACTCATATATTTGGATTTCGAAGAGCAACCAAGAAGTCAGGCACGCATCAGCCCTTCGCGCATCAATTGTTTACGCTGTTGTGCCACGCGAGAAGCTCGCACAGAAGCAAGACGCTTCCACAGTGAAACTGCAAACCACGAATGCGGGGACAAGACTACCTGCCATCATGCCGTCGTGCGGCACATGGCAATGAATTTCGCTAGCTAGAAACAGACATTGCTCTCATGTCGGGTTGTTGGCTTAACCTGAGATGTGGCACCAAGGGCTAGAGTCTAGAGACGGCCTGTGCCTTCGTCTCCGGACAATCGAATCGACGGGCAGCAAAGCCATCGGCCGCATTCTGCATCTCCTGAAAAGGAGAAAATGACCGCCATGCGCTCGAGCTACTGTGCCCAGTTCTGCAAGAGCCCGTCCTGCCCGGCAAAGTTTCCGGTCCCGGGATAGCCGTAAGGTGCGTGCGGCGGGTACGGCGCCGTACCCTCTGTCCCCTTCCATATATCCTGGACTCATGCAGGTCCTTCACACTCCGAATGTTGATTCAAAGCAGTGCAAAACCAATCTGCAGCCAGGCACGAGCTTCGGCTTGGTGATGCCCTGCTCTTCGTCCATCCGCTTTGCAGGTACGGCCTGTCCGCCCGCGAAGATCGGCTTGAGAAGTCCTCCGTTCCGCTCCTTGGTTGCGGTGGAAATCACTGCGGGTATGCGGCTATGCCGAGCCAAATCTATTGATCCACGCTGCATGTTCCTTGAAGAGCTCCCACCCGAAGCTAGCAGCCAGAAAGTCAGTGAGTGGAAGGGCAAGCAGGACTGCAACCTTGCAAAAGCTGCTGCAGACACAGGAGACTTGGGAGGATCCGTCTAGTCTGCATCGACTTTAACATACTGGTCCGAGATGCTCTGACGAAGTCGAGCTTGAAGGTGTTCACAACTGCACCCTTGGTTGCCCATCGTTTTCCATGGCTTCCTTTCCGCATGCGCAGACCCTTCGATAGCAGAAGAGGCTCTGTAAGGGCGCCGAAGAAGTCGTATATGAAAAGGAGTCCGCTCGCTAGGCCCCACAGGCTGGTCAGAGTGATGTCCATGCCTTTTTTGGCACAGTACCATCCAATAAACGCCTCAGCTTTGCGCGACGACTCGATAAAGTTGTTTACACTGCACTCCTCGCAGAGCCCCCAGGGCATGCAGGCCAAGCATCGACGACTCCCATCAAGAAGCCTGCAGTCAGTGGTTGCTGACGTGGCATCACCGTCGACACTTGCAGCTCCCTCTCTCTCTCTGACTTTGCTGCACTTCCGTCCCACCTCCGAGCGTGTCGAAAAGGTAGATCAGGCGAGCAACTGTCAGAAGGGCCCTCAGCACGCACAGAGAGAGAGAGAGACACGGCACAGATTGGGCACGGCCTCGCATTAATGCATTGTTACACTAACTCGCGAGTCGTGCAGCAGAAGCGCTGCACGAACACAATGCCGCAAAGCCAGAACATCTGTTCTCGCGTTCCAGTCCCCTGCAACAGCCCGATTTCGCGCAGACTTCGGCTTGAATCGTACCCAACCTTGCCGAACTGAACCGGGTAGTGCAAGTACTCCATCTGCAGTTCCACCCACACCTGTCACGCACAGGTCGCAGAGGCACAGGATGCGGTTCCGTTACGCCTGCACAGAATCCACCCGGCGCCTGTGAGAGTCCAGGTTCGATATGCGGTTACCTCACGGATAGCGGACAGTGTAAGAACTTGAGATCCTACCAACCGCGCAGCCCCCCGAGAACTACCCGAACTTGTGCATTCATGCTTTGCCGCGGTACAAAGGAAGGTGTTACCCTGGAGTGTGGAGTGTTAATCACATCCAGGGGCACCGCTTGAGCCACAATCGCAAGGGCAAACAGGGGTGGATCCCATGTTTGAGTCATCTCACAAGGGACCAGAGACGACCAGAGGCACGGCATCCGGCCTGGATCCCCTTCGGAGCCTTGGGACATCTTGGGACACTCTGGGGCGCGCGGAGCCCTTCCCCTCCTCTCCTTTTTGCCGGCCTCGTCTGGAGCAGGGGGAGGCCGAGGACCTGGCAGCAGCGGCTTTTGCTTTTTTTCCCGGCTTTTCCGGTCCTTCGGCCCCCGAGCCCGTCCTTCCACCTGAAGGCTTGCCGGGTCTTGCTGCTTGACAAGCCACGGTATGCGAGTGCTTCCACCTGCAAGGGCCAGGCTGACGACTCACCGTCAGGCGCGCTCCGCCCGAAGCTGCAGTAGCGCACTGGCTTGATTGGTGTCTGGTGTCTGCACGAAGCCCTGGCCCACCATGCGGTCTGGGTATCCTGCAGAGGGCTCCAATTCAAGAGCGGACTGCAACACATCCGGTTGCACGCACCTCCTACTCCTTCTCCCATCATGCGCCGCCCACCGGCAAAAAGCTGGGAACCTCAGGCCAGGCCCCAGGCCATGCCAGGCCATGCCAGGCCATGCCAGGCATGACGCGAACTGGCGAGATGCGCTGCTTCGGCCGAGCAGCCCATCATATTCATGCTGCTGGAGAGACCCGCGAATGGGGTGGATCGCCTGGAGCCGGCGATGCCCACGTATCGGTTCACCAGACAGAAATTATTGATGGTGTGGCGAGCCTGTTCGCAGCAGTCCCGAACCGATGCGTCTGAAACGAAGGAGGGGGTGGATCCATGGACCAACCTTTTCAGCGATGACCGAGATTGACTGGGCCTATTATCTGTGGATGCACCTGCACCGTGTATCTGGCCGCCGGCATGGTCCTGACCGAGTGCTGGAGCACCTGTGCACAACCCCCACTTCTGCAGGGCCGGATGATAGAGTTTGCGGCGTTTTTTGAGGACCACGCCGAATCCGGTCCCAGGAGGTTGCCACGTGGCCTCTTCACGAAAGAGCTGTTTCGAGACGGTCAACGAACAGGAAAGCCCTTCAGCCATTCGACCTGCTCGCTTATCGGCTGCAGACTTGACGATCTCGGAGCGAACATGCTGGACTGCTGGACCTCACCAAGTCTCTACGTCGTTCGACATCACTCTGCATGCTCTTATAAGGCATTCCAGCGTTGGCTCAAAATGCAACTTGCAGCCTCGCCTGCGATCTGTTTCGCGCGTCAATCAATCGTCTAACGTACAGACTTCGAATCTGCTATGTCCTATGTCCTATGAAATCTCGTTGAGAGCAGTTGTTGTTGCAAGTACCCAGTCAGCCATCCGCTGCAGCGCATTGGCCGGACGGGCTGCACGCATTGGCCGGACGGGCTGCAGGATTCGGTTCATCTCGGCTCCCTCTCTTCCCAGCCCAGGTCCTCCCTCACCCGTCGCCTGTGAAACTGAAACTCGCGCCCATCTCCACGGCTGCTTTGGGGCTAAATTGCTTCGGGGCCGTGACATATTTGAGCTGGCTGTGGAAGACGGCATGCCAAAGCATACGCCAGACTGCCATTGTGACAAAGATGGTTCGCGAGATGGGAAGAACAATCGGGTACGTAAGCACCAGGATGGCCCATCTCCACCATTCCATGGGGAGCATAATGTCGCGCCGGTGACCCAGAATATACTTTTGCATAAAGGCCTCGCGCGCGAAAAACTTCACCCACCCGTAGCAGAACGGCAAAATGCAGCCAGCGAGCACCAAAGATAGCATGGTCGGCCCCAGATCCATGAGCGCCCACCAGGTCTGTGGGAAGCAGAAAATCATCCACGAAGGAATTGCAGCGTTCAGCAGATGCGCCTGTGTGATTCCCAGCATTCGGTACCATACCCGCCATCGGAGCACTGGGAGAAGTGAAATGAGCCAAGCAACTTCCTCCACACCCCACATGTGTCGCTTCGCCTGGACCCATCGGTCCTGGAAACCGGCCACCGAATCATTCATGATGAGGCTCCAGACAGTGACAACACAGTCGGCCGGTGCACTTGTGTATGCGATGGCTTTCAAGGTGGTGTGCATGTCTTCGGACGTGTTGTCCGGATCCCAGTAGTTCAACTCATGAGCAAAACCCAGCATCATGCTATAGTTTGACTGGCAGGGCTGCATGGTGAGATGGTTGAATGTCACCGTCTGGCAGCGGTAAACCTCGTAGCACTGCACCAGCAGATTGCACTCGGCCAGGTTGCGCACCGTGTTGATCGGCGAATCGAACAGCATACGACGACCGTCCGGTGTACGCCAAAATTCCGACTCCACCTGCTCGAGAAACACACGGTCGAAGTAGGAATCAGCATCTGCCACTGTAACCATGACATTGAAGGGATCCAAGCCCATGTCCAGCACGCTTCTGTAGAGCTGACGGACCGCGAAGTTTTCGTTGCTCGACTTGCCAGCAACCTCTCCAGGTTGGAGCTCGTGACGGGTGCACATGAAACGAAAGAAAGATTTCTCTGCCACCGCTTTCAGGCTCAAGAACGTCTCGTCCGCTCCGGCATCACGAGCCTCCTGCGCCAGAACCACAATCGTGTTGTGTGCCAATGTCTGCTCTTGGAGCGAGGCCACAGTGGCCGCCAACACATCGAGCGGCTCCTTGTATTCCGCAATGACCACCGCATGAGTCAGCAAAGGCCTGTCAGTGGGTAGTTCTGCCCTCTGTCGGCCGCGCAATAGCTTTCTCATCACCACCACTTCCCGACCAAGATCGTAGACAACGGCACCCACGATGGGGGTCAGGACTACGAGCAGCATCAGATGAGACGTGAGGCATTTGTTCAGAGTTGCCTCTGCAGTTCCAAAGAGCGATTGAGATGCTATCGGCACGAGGACGATGATGAAAAATGCGATGAAGGCCAGTCGGCACAAGGGGACGAGGATGAGATACTTCAGCCAAGGACGCCCGGCCTCTTGACTTGGCAAAGTCTTCCAAATCGGCGTGTCCAAGAGGCTCTCCAATGATTCACGCATCAAGCGATGGCAGCTGCTCCCGCAGCCGGTAGAGCACGAGGGTCACAGCGGCGGCAAGAAGCACTGCACCACTGAATCCGTGCCAAGTCGCGACGATTCCATGAGGCCAAAGGTCACAGACCACCGGAAGTGAACACTGATGCGCCTCGGCCTAATCCAGCAGCCGTAGCCAGCTAGTTTTACCCCTGTCTTCTTCGGAATGCACTCTGTGTGGCTTCATGAAGCTTGTGCCCAGCACCTGAGCTAGAACACGGACGTATGCCATGATCTCGTTTGGCAAGTTTCCCACTCTGGCCTGTTACAGCCTGCCTCGCGTTTGCCCATATGTATAAGCTCTCTAGCACACTGAGATTTACCCCGGTCATGTTCGCCATGGCTGGTTGTGGCCTGTGCCAAGCTCCCAAACACAAGGAAACTTACCTGGTGTTGCTCGGAATGCATGCCACCTCTGGTTCAGCACTTGTGAAAAATCCGCCGAGGCCACAGGCCCAGGCGTCTTGGGGGTTAGCTCAGGTACCCTCCACCTAATCCTCAATGTTTGGGGACACCCGCTTTGCGTTCGTTTGCCACCCCCTTGCCCGGCTTCCCCTCATTTTACCTGATTTGTCGGCCTCCCCCCCCCCTCCCAGGCCTCCCCCCGCCCTCCCCCCTCCCCCCCCGCCCCTCCCTCTGTGCCGATACACCCACAAGGAATACTCCTTGTTAGGAGGTGTATGACCAGTTATTCCCTAAGGATCAAAGGGCAGCGCCCTGCACACGGACAGTAGTTGTTTTGTCTTGCTACGCAAGGAGAGCTTGTCTTGTCTCAATATGGTAAAACCACTGTGAGCCAATGGGCAGCGGAATGTATATGTATGAGCATGCAGCCATTGCTGTAGGTACCTGTTAGAGCTACCCCTTTAGAGGTTTATGGTTTCAAACAGACACTAATTTTCTTTTACCGGAAGCATGGCCGCACATTCACACATATACTATTATGCCCACTGTCACAGTTGCGGAGTCTGGACTCATGATGAAAACAGCATATTATTTAAGCTAGGTATAGCACTGAAGTACACTGCTGAGGACACTCCTTTTGCACACACTCATGCATGTTGGTCAGAGAGATCGTCTGTACAAGATCATGTCTGGTGATATTTTCTACATCGAATTATGCAGCCCTTCACTTTGCTCTTGTTAGAGCTTTGTGAGTCACTGTTGTGAAACTCCGAGATTTTCCTTATCTCAGATTTGGATCCAGGTTTGGATCATAGGCTCGAGCGTAGACGTTCGGATGTGGCTCATCCGGGTCTGAGTGATCTTCTTCGGAACTTGAATAAATTCCGAGTAGTCTGTTCTCAGCCCTGGTGAAGGCGGCGTCTGCAGTATCATATCCATGGTTGGATGTTGTCGCCTTTGGCTCGGCCTTTGGCGCAGCTTGTGAGCTGACTGGAGTTGCCTTGGCTTTAGCCGGTTGTGGCTGCTTAGCCTTTGCCCGTTCAGCCCTTCTTCTTTCAAGCTGTCCGTCTGAGGACGCCCATGATCTTTCACTTTCATCTCCTGAAGGAGATAAGGCGTGGGCATAAAGGCTATTCCAGTACTGTGCTGCAGAAGGAGTTAGGACTTCTTCATTGTCAGATTCTGACTGGTCTTCCTCAGAGCTTTGGTCGTCAAAGAGTGTCTCGAGGACATTTTTGAGATTGTTATTTCTTCGCTCTATCTCTAGTGAGGAATGGACCAATTGGTTAAAGACTGTCCTTGAGTCCTTCAGTGCTGTTAGAAGGATTTCCACTCTGGATAGAGTATCTTGGATGGTGTCAAGATGTTCCTTCCTTTCCTCCTTGTCTCTCTGGATAGAGCTTCGCAATGATTGTGCGATTCTGAGGAGGTCTGTGTATTTCGTAAGAGGCATAGTTACCGTTTGATTGTCATGTATGACAGTTGTTTCGTCGCCGCTTAAGTTCCTGAATAGGACTTCCACGACTGGTAGAAACTCCGTGCTCCACGGTTCCTCTTCATCATATGTTTCTACGTGCTGTAGCACGCGTTGTGTAAACTGATCGGCTGCTTCTACCGTTGCATCGATAGAGCTGACGTGTCT